CATTGAGTGCTATTTTTCTGGCTCCCGACGCTCCAAGACGGCCCAAGATGCTGGCAGAATCGCCTCCACCCGGCCCGAAAAGACCGGGGAGGAGAGCCGACGGGCGGCCCCCAGAGGTCTCCGAGACGGACCAGAGCCCCACGACGGCTCCAAGGGGGGGGAGGCCAGACGACCACGTCGAGCTCTGCGCCCCGAGATGCCCTCGAGAACCCACGCGAGGCTCCCAAGAGGCCCCCGAGATGCTCCAAAGAACTCCGCAAGGCGCGCCTCGCACGCCAGACGGCCCAAGGGGAAGGCCACGGCAGAGGAGCATCGACGAATTCCGAGGGGAAGACGTGCGGTTCCAACATGTACGGTTTGTCTCCTTTCCGACGCTCCCGGACGGCCGAAGATGCCCCCGAGACAGCCGTCAAACGGCCCACGAGATCCCGCAAGAGAGGCCACAGGCGGCCCAAGAGGGCGTCAAGGCGGCCCAGGAGGCGCCCAAGGAGGCCGAGGAAGGGCCCAGAACGGCTTCGAGAGGGGCAGGCCAAACGGACAGTCCGGTTCTTCCGTGCCAAAAGACCCCAAGGGGGCCCCGACAGGCCCCAAAGAGCCCTCCAAGACGCGCCTCGCACGGGAACGCCAGCAACGAAGGACGACTGCGAGGACGACGAACGACGCCGACGACGCCGTCGAAAGACGACGACGACGGCGACGACGATTGACGAACGACGGCGAAGACGAAGAATAACGACGACGGCGACGACCACAACGACGAGGACAACGCCAGTTCTCGGAGTTCTGTAGCAGTTCTCCACGTGGTTCTCCCAGACAAGCTGTGTGGACAGGTCTGGTAAGGTCAGGTCAGGTTTTCACGCTCGCCATTGCGCTCCTCGTCAAGTCCTTGCACTGCGAGTTCCGTGGCCACGACTAGAACCTAAGCGCGCGCGAAAAGCGCGCGTGGTTCTTGGCGTGTTAGATAGACATGAGACACCAGCGCTTACGTTGAAGAATGACAAAAGGAGGGATCAAAGATGGCAGGCCGATGCAATTGACCAGGATTTCGAGAGCCAAGCGTTGATTGGCTTACGTATTGGATGACTGGCTTATGGGTTGCGCCTATTTTGAAGCAGTTTTCCAACACAGAGACGGTTTGGTGAACCCCAAGTGTTGTGCAAACAATTCGTGTTGTGTGTTGTGTAATCAGTCGTGCGCAGTGCTTCTTACATGTGTGATGTGCTTCTGGCTTGCTCGGTGTGCGCGCACTTGCTCTTTCGAAAATTGTACGGTCTCTGTGCATGACGCTCGGCAAGAAACAAGGCCGGCAGGCAGGGTCAGTGTGCGTGGCGGGGACCGTGGACAGCAGTCGACCAATCAATTGTTTGTTTGTTAGGGGGAACAGTGTGCGAGGCGAGGGCTGCCAGGGACAAGACTGGCCGAGAAAACAGGCAGTACCCCGTTGCATCTGGCGAGGCGGGGACAGCCAGGGGGCAGCAGGAACATCTCTGACATCCCCTGGAACTTCATCGCAGCTGGTTTGAGCAACGCCAGGGGCTGCCAGCGAGGTGAAGAACACCCCCAGCACCCAACCAGGGACAGCGGGCGAGGTTGGGGCCGCACGGGGCGGCGGTGGGCGGGTCGAGCTCCGAGGGAAAAATCGCACGAGGCGGGCATGGCCACCGACAATTGTTGCCGACTGGTCATCTGGACACCCAGAGACCGAGAGCGAGGCAGTGACGGCCAGGGGCAGCAGTCGGTCAAACAAGCGGCACGCCCGCGCCCTCGCTTCTCTGGCACGATGCAGCGGCGAGGGGCACGAGGAGCAGTGTGAGGAGGGGGAATCCGTCGGGGCGATCGTGAGGCCTTGCTGGAGCGCGAGGCCAGGGAGCTCCGAGGGGCCAGAGGAGGGGCCAGGGGGGAAGGAGAGATCAGTACCGACGCAGCGGAGCCCCGCGGCAAGAGGAGGGCACGACGGGCGAAAGCGACGACGACGGCGGCGACGACGAGGGGGAGGAGGGGCAGGAAGGGCGGTAGGGGGCGAGTGCCCGCGCCCGCGCGGCCCCGCGCCGGCTCAGTGCCGCGGGGGCCTGGGCGCGCAGTCGGCCGATCCCGGCGGCGGCGCGCCAAAAGCTCCCACGTCGCCGCCAGCGCGTGCTGCCGGCATAGCAGCCGCAGCAGCCCTGCCCGCGGCGGCAGGTGCGGGCGGCCGCCCGCCGCACGGGCGGCAGGCCAGCTGCGGCCACGCGCGCGGTGGCCTGCCCGCGGGCCGCCGCGGGAGGCGGCCTGCCCGCGCGGCGGCGGCGCCGCCGCGGCGGCGGCCACCGCAGCGCTGCGTCCCCCGCGCGGGGTCTGCGCGCCTCCGGTGCTGCACACGCGCGGCCAAGCGGCGCCGCAACTCCTCCTTCTCCTCCTCCTTCTCCTCCTTCTCCTCCTCCTCCTCCTCGCACGAGCCGCGGCTGCGGCCAAGCGGCGCCGCAACTTGGGCCCGCACGGGCCCAGGCCGTGGTTGGCTTCCCGAGCGGCCAGTGCTACCGGGGCCGCCGCGCGCTGGAGCGCCGCGAGCGCGTCCAGCCGGTGCGCCCGCCGCTGGCGCAAGGCGAGGGGCGGGGGCGGGGCTCGCGCCGCGGCGTCGACGAGTCCTCCTCAGGGGAAAGGACGAAGCTCGGACAACGAGCGAACCACGAACAAAAGTAAAGGGCTGTGGGTTAGGGAAGGGGAGGCCATGGCATCCTGCCCATTAGGTTGAAACTCTCACGTGGGTCACGAGGGTCACGGGCGAGAGGAACCAATTGGTCTCGTGTGCCCTGTGGCTCACAGGAATGTGTCAAGGGGCGTGCCTTGTGACATGTCCGGGGGACGCTTGAGAGGGCGTGTCTACGGGCGCATCACGGGACGTACTTACCCAGCGGCGTGTGATAGGACATGTGAGGTGACGTGTCCTGGGACGTGCCAGGGCAAGGGCACACCCTTCTGTGGGCGTGCACAGGACCAGAGTCGCAGTATCGACGCGGTCATTACCACCATCGCCATCGCCATCATCCTCGTCATAAGCATAGACCATACCAATGTGGTCTGGCCGCCTTCCTCTTGAGGCTCCCACTGGAGGAGGAGGAGGAGGAGGAGGAGGAGGAGGAGGAGGAGGAGTACTTCGGCCAACTGGTGGGCGCCTGGGGGCCGCCAGGTGCCTCCTGCGGGGCGGTCGACCCGCCACGTGCCACAACCCACAGCTGGGCCACCGGTGGTGCTGGCAGTCGGCAGGCCGCAGGCCGTGGGCTCCCCAGGTCGCGGCGCCGCGGGCCTTCGGACTGTCTAGCGACCATGGCTCCGAAATCCTCCTCTCTCCTCCTCCTTCTCCTCCTCCTCCTCCCCCTCCTCCTCCTCATCGTCATCACCATCATCATTAACATCAGTAGCATCATCATCATCATCATCATCATCATCATCATCATCATCATCATCATCATCATCATCATAATCAGCATAATCAGCAGCAGCAGCAGCACACCCCCCGAGTGGCAGTCCTCGAACCTCGATCCGACCAACCTCACCGCCGCCCCCCTCCCTCCGCCCCCTCCCCGCCCGCAGTGCCCCGGCCAGCGCAGGCTGCAGGGGCACCAAGTGGCGCCTGGAGCGTCAGGGGCACCCGCGGGCGACCGCGGGAAAGCAAGGCATGCAGCGCACCAACACACGCCGAAGAGAAGAATGGGAAGAGCAATGCAGTCGCGGCGCTGGAGAAGGAACCCTCTTCGTTGGGGAGGGGCTCGGGGTGCCTTGATTGTTTTACAGTTTGCCTCGGGTTATCCTGAGGTTTTCCATGGGAAATCAAGGTTGAACTTATGGGAAAAAAGGGGGCCTCGTTCCTTATGCTGGGTCCCTTAGGTCAACGCTTCGACTGTATACAATGACATGTATGAAACTCAGGATGGAGGGCACGGAGAGTGCGAGGCCACTGGGCCGCAGTGCCCTCCTAAGCCCCCCGACCCCCGCCCGGTCCGTCGACGGGCCCACGATCAGAGGCTGCGGCCTCCACCACGCCTCCCAGCGGGGCTCCCACTCTCACGGCGGCTCGGCGTCCGTTCGTTCGCTCCTTGGCCTCCCCCCTCCCGCTTTTGCCCCCCGCTCGACGCCGCACCTCGCCGACGACGAGCGCAGCTCCTAGGAGTGCCCTCGGAAGGGCCACACCGCCGCCGCCGTCCTCCCCGACCTTGGGCGGATCTGTTTGGCCCAAAGCGTGTGGACTGCCCCCCCTCACCCGCTGCCCCTCGCCCGACGGCGCACCTCGCCGACGACAAGCGCAGCTCCCAGGATTGCCCTCGGAAGGGCCGCCCCGCCGCCGCCTTGTTCCCCCCCCCTCTGACTGATTAATATGACCAGCGTGGACCCTCCTCGGTCGGAGACGTCGGCCCCCTCGGAGTCGCCGTCTGTTCCTGACTCGACGGCGGTGGGTAGAAGGTTTTCGGCCTCAGGGGGGCTGCCCCCTCTCTTGAGAACAGCGAACCGCTGCTCCTAGGCGAGAGAACTCGTGCCAAAGGGGCCGCCAGAGGCAGCAGCCCTGTGCATGCACAAGTATTTACTGCTGTGCGCTCTAGCATTTCATTCGGTTCCGCTCCCACGCGAGCGACGCAGAAAGCACTCGGGCCATCTTCGCCGACACTGGCGCGCAAGCTGCCCGCGTCAGGTCGCGCGTGAGCGCCCTCGATGTGGCACGCCGCGCCGGCGGCCCCGCGCAAGCAGGCCACCGCGTGAGGCCGGCCAGTATCGCATCTCGTGTGAGATCCCTTGTGGGTCATCGCTCGCGTGCGTGGGCTTCCCACCCCGACCTGTCACCACCCACGAAACCGACCCAACCCGACCCGAAGGCTTCGATTTACCCTCGATTTCCAGGTGGTGGGGGGGGGGGGCGGGACACATGCACAAACAGACATGCGGAGCCCTTACCCCCCCCCCTAACCCGAAATTCGGGTCGTCGGGTTGGGTTGGGGTGGTCTGGTAGGGTAGCCACGGCGGCCGCCCGCCAGGCGGCGGGGCTGCCGATCCGAAGCAGCGCGCCGCGGTGCCCGAGGCCCGCGGCGAGGCAGCCGTGGCGCTCGGCGCAGAGCAGGAGGGCCCGCCGGGCCCCCACGGCCGCCGGCCCCCCTGCCACTCACGGGGAGGAGGCGGGGGAGGTGGAGGGGGAGGAGGACCTCGTCCTCCCGCTTTCCTCCTCGTCCTCCTCCTCCTCGTTTTCCTCCTCCTCCTCCTCCTCCTCCTCCTCCTCCTCGTCCTCCTCGTTCTCCTCCTCCTCCTCCTCCTCCTCCTCCTCCTCCTCCTCCTCCTCCTCCTCCTCCTCCTCCTCCCCCTCCTCCTCCTCCTCCTCCTCCTCCTCCTCCTCCTCCTCCTCCTCCTCCTCCTCCTCCTCCTCCCTCCTCCTCCTCCTCCTCCTCCTCCTCCTCCTCCTCCTCCTCCTCCTCCTCCCCCTGGCTTTTTAATTCTTTTTTAGGAGGACCAAGCGTTACATGAAGTGTTCCTGAGTCTCGGAGTCGACGTCGAGGTCGTCTCGAGAGTGCGGGAGTGCTTGCGCAGGGCGGCTCAAGATTGGGGGGACTTCGGAGTGCGAGGCTTGGGGACGTATCTTGGTGCCGAGGTGGGGCCAGAGGCCACGATATCCGCAAATCTCCCAGCGCCGCTTGCCAAGTGGCGGGCTCGCGCAGCAGAGTACGCGGCGATAGGGGGCGGTGCTAACTTCTCTGCTTTCTTGTATTGCAGTCGTGCCCTCCCCTCCCTCTCCTACTTGTCGCAGTTCTTCCCCCCCCTCATGGGACGGGACCCGCACAGAGCTCAATGCCCTCACCAGGCTTCTTCGCCTCCCAGGCTCACCATGGCGGCAGCAGGACTGGACTGCCCTCCAGCTCTGGGGCGGGCCTCGCATTCAAGCCCTCTTCGCCCTCTCCCTCGCCATCCTTCTCCACTCCGCTCTGAAAACCTTCCCTGGGTGGCGAGCGCTCCTAGCTCGGCTTGTCTTTTACGCTGAACGTGAGCTCGCGGTGACGCGCGCGTTCCAGGAGGGCGGATGGATCTCCCCTGAGCTTTGGCGCTCGCCCCCAACTGTGCGTACATATGAGACCGCTCTAGCGGGATTCTCTGCCAAGCGGCGCATAGCCACCAGCGTCGCCCTGGCCGTGCAGAGCGCGCGACAGGCGATGAGGGACACACCCAGGGTCCGTCTTCAATCCCACCTCCACCGCTCCCTCGCCTCCTCGCTCTTACCCGACGGCTTCGCCTCGCTCCTCTCCACCCGTTCCCGAGAATGGTGCGCCTCGCCTGGAGAGCTGCCGCACGATCTTGTCTTTCCCCGGTGAGGCCTTCAGAGCTCAGCTCCTCAGGGTCCCTGTTGCATGGGCTTTCGCATGTCTCCGCACCCGGTGCGGGAACTGGACCACCGAGCACCGGCTCCAGCACGAATCGCACGCTTGCGTCTTCGGGTGCAGCGCATGGGATGATTTGAGAGACATTACCACACGTGTGCTCACTTGAAGGCGTGCTGGTCTTTGACCATGGGGGGGCCCCTGCCAGAGCGCACGGCTGCCAGATTCGCCCTGCTAGACCCCTCCCCCACGGGCATCAGGAGAGAGGTTGCAGCTCTTCACATCCACAGGCTTGCTCGCGTTGGCCCCAGGCTCCCGCCTACAGTCAAAAACCCTAACAGGGAGGCGCGACTTTGCTCAGGGTACCCTTGCGTCCTTGCTCTTCCTTGCTCTTGCGTCCTTGAGTTTTTCGTCGCCCGCCGCCCCAAAAACCCCAACTTCGGCTTCCAAGGGTCTTGCGTCCTTACCGCGCGTCCTTATTAGGGTTTTTGACTGTACCCCAACACGCCTCCTCCGACAAAATCTCTGAAGCGGTGCGGGCCGCCGCCGAAGTCCCCCCCGGGGGAACACCTCCGGGAGGCTCGGTCTGCGGGCTCGGCTCTAACACCGTCCGGGTGGCGTGGGCGGTCGCCGAGCCCCGGGTGTTGATTGTTACGTCTCTCCCAGCTTCGGTCGCTGCTCATCCCTGCATTTTGTTTTTTTTTGTTAAAAAACAAAAAAAAAAACACAACAGCTGTTTTCAACAACAAATCCCTGCATTCTGTGCTTCTCGCTTTGGGGGAAGGGTCAGGATGCTCGCCTCTGGGGCTCGACTGGTGGCGTGAGTGGCAGTCGGGTCACGGCCTCTTCAGAAAAGGGCCCCAGCGCCACCCAGTCTGAGCCCACAGACACAGGAACACTTCATGAAACGCTTGGTCCTCCTCCTCCTCCTCCTCCCTTCACCTCCTCCTCCTCCTGCTCCTCCTCCTCCTCCTCCCCCTCCTCCTCCTCCTCCTCCTCCTCCTCCTCCTCCTCCTCCTCCTCCTCCTCCTCCTCCCTTCACCTCCTCCTCCTCCTCCTCCTCCTCCTCCTCCGCCTCTCTTCACCTTCTCTTGAGCCCCTTCCAGTGTCGAGACGCCCCCAAGCGGGCCTTTGTGGGCAGACCAGGCAGGAGGTTGACCATCGACACATATTCCCTACCTAGGCTCTGCATAGAAGGGTTCTTACCGTGTGTGCTTAAAGGGCCGGGCAGTGCAAATCGCCCCGGGCGGTTCCCCCAGTATCCGCCCCGCGGTTCCCCCAGTGACGGCCCTTTAGTTTAGCGTTGCTTATCTCATCTTAGCTTAGCTTATTTCATCTTAGCTTAGCTTACCTTCATCTCAGCTCAGGTGTATCTTAGCTTAGCTTACCTTCATCTTAGCTTCGCTGAGCTTTAGCATAACAGAGCACAGCATATCATAGCATAGCGTAGCATAGCATAGTGCAGCATAGCATATCATAGCATAGCCCAGCATATCATAGTTTAGCATAGCATAGCATAGCATAGCATAGCATCGCATAACGCACCATAGCATAGCATTGCATAGCGTAGCATAGCGCAGCATAGCATGGCATAGCATGGCGTAGCATAGCATAGCATAGCAACTCATGTTGCTTTTCTAGGGGCTCCAACTTCTAGGTAGGGTCGCACTGGGGTAATTACGATTGAGAAGGGCCCTGCGCCGACGGATGCAGGCGCTCGACCCAGTGACAGGATTTCCATGCGGTGCAAAGTGTTTGGTTTCAATGTGTGCAGTGTGGTGCAGCCGTGCAGGCCCCAGGAGACTGCTACGGTTGCCGGCCACTTTCCCCGTCCAGGTGCTGGTCGGCGCTCGATTGCGCGCGGCCCCCACCGGCCCCGTTAGAAGGCAGGACGCGCGTGGGCGACCACGAGTTTGTGCACTTCGGGTACGGGAGGGAACCGTTCGCCAACCGTTCGGCGGGCGTGAGCATTGGCCTGCGGCGTCGGAACCTGGGCTGCAGGCTCCATCGTGTTGTACCAGGACGCGTCTCTGCGCAGGGACGGGCGGGTCTCGGCCGTGTCGCCTTTGGCTCGCTGGACGCATCACGATCGTGGCGCAGGCGACCTGGCGCAGAACGGCCGACATGTTGCTCGAGTGGCTCAGCAGCCAACTGGACGCCACACCTGAGCGTTCGACTCCCATCATCTTCGCTGATCTGAACGACCCGTTTAGGTTGGGCCAGACATCGGCGGGCTTCCAGTGCGTGGGCCATCTCGTGCAGGAGCGCATAGGGCACGTGTCGAGGAGCCTGCGTGAGCTGATTCACTGCCAATTCCTGGGCTGCGCCACCACCTTCCGCAAGATGGCCCCCACCCACCTAAACAGGCGAGAAGTCCTCGTCGTGGATCGACCAGTTCATCGTGCCGCTTGGTGTGCTTCTGAGGGCCAGCATGATTCCGACGATGCCAAAGGCGGCCAGGATATTGCAACCGTTCCCGTGCAAGGGTATCCTTCGCGACCGTTCGCCAGTCTTGATGGAGCTGGACGTCGGCGTGCCCAGTTCACAGACATCTTCGGCCACCATGACATGGAATTTCAACGCGGCGGAGACCACCCTCCAGACTCCTGGGCTCGGGGAAGCCATCCCCGAGGAGTTCAGCACTGGCATGGCTGTGAAGGCCCCCGCCTTCTCTGGGCTCTTTGAGGCCGCCAAGATCGCTGAGGGTTGCCAGTTACTGGCGTCGGTCCCCGTGCCTGTGGCCAAGAAGCACTTCGGCAGAGCTCGCAGGGCCCTCGGCGAGGAGCTCTCGATGCATCGCGCTCGGCTCCGCCTGCTCCTGCGTCAGCGTGCTCGCCTCCGTGAGATCTTCGCACCGCGCGCCTTTTTCGGCTGGCAGATCCACGGCGTCACGAATCGCATTCGCTGGGAGATCAGACGATGGACGAGGTCGCGACGTAGCACGTGGACTGAAGGCCTCCACGAGGCTTGGCGACAGCGCGATCTGGCCAGCGTTCAGCACTTCAGTTGTCGCCTGGCGGGCGCGGGTTTCGGCCCGAAGCGCCGCAGCTACGCGGCGGCGCGCCGATGCAACGCCGCGTCCGACGCGCTGGCTACCTCTCTGGGCGCCGGAAGGATGGCGCCTCTCGGCTGCGCGGGCTTCGCTTGCCGATTTTCATGGCGGCAGGGTTCTGCCCCCTCGCCTTGGAATGCGATCGGTTCTCGGCTGCGGAGCTGGGCAGGCGCGATCCGTTTCGGGCTTCGGGGGCGCTTCGACGCGCCACTCGGCGCAGGGCCGCCCCTCCCCAGTCGCTTCCCGGGGAAATTTGAACCATATCATGCTCCTTGGGCCCGCTTATTGCAGCAAGCCTCTCACCAACCCGTTCGGCTTCGGCGCCGAATCCCCCCCCCCCGGGCGCGCGCCGTTGAAGTCGGGCTTTCCAGTTCTCGCCGCGCGCTGGAGAGCGCGCGTGCGTTCTCTTGCGCGCAGGGGGGTTCTGGACCTGGCTGGCGAACTCCCAGGCCCGCTGGGGGCGCTCGGTTCGCGCGCGGCCAGTGCTTTGTGGTTCGAGCCGTAGAATCTACAGGCCGGCCCCCCACGGCCCACCGGGCCACTCCGACGGCGGGTGCGTCCCGCGCCGTGGGGGGGAGGGCGCCGTTCTCGGTGCGCGCGCGCTGTCTGCGCGCCCGCGCGTCGCGCGCGCGCGCGCGGCGCGCCGTTGTGTTTGGCGACGTGAGGAGCAGCGCCTCGGGCTGTTGCGCGCGTTGTCGCATGGACCTCGGGGGCCTTTAAACGGGGCGGTGACCGCGCCGTGCGGTGAGTCGGCGGGGATTTGGGGCCACCGCACGGTTTTTGGATTCGGGTCGATCTCCGAGGACGCCTCGGGCGACAGGGTCCTCCAGGGTCCCAAAACCGTGCGGTGACGGACCGCGCGGCGAGGTCTCGGGGGATTTCGAGGTCACCGCACGGTGTGTCACCGCACCGTTTCGGGGCTCCAAAGGATCAGGGACGCCGGAAATCTCGGCCCCCCCGCGGGCGCTTCGCTCCTGGCCGACAGACGCACTGCGCATGTTTTGCACATCGACGGAGTTGATCAGCACACCGCCCCCCGCCTCCAAAGCGCGGCGTTCATGGGGGGCCCGAGTGCGCCCGATGAGTTTGGCGTCGAAGTTGCCCTTCCCCTGGAGCGGCGCCCGCTTATCGACGCTGGGTCGTTCGCGCTGGCCTGTTTCAGCGCGTCGGCGATTCAGCAGGTTTTCTCACAGCGGGCCCCCTCGAAGAGACCGTCTCGGCCGCCTGGGCGTCGAGGGCAGTTTTCGGCAAAGCGCCCGGAGAATTCGGCCGCCGTCAGAACGAGAGAAAAAGGAACAACAAACAACAAGCATTTCACACATGGCTCCATTAGCTGCCTGTTGCTCGAAATGCACGCGGGCAAACGTTACGTTTAGCGCGGGGCGCTGTACTGTCATGGCGCGCAGAGCGCTGTCATGCAGTGCGAACGCAGCGCAAGGTGCTGCTACTCCCACGAATTATGTTTTTAACCGCCCCTCTTCTGCCAACGACCGGACTCTTGAGAGTGGCGCCGCACATCTGAAACATCTGACTCTGGCCCGACGTTCTTTGGCGACGCGTTCAGGGGCATTGCGGGCCATTCAATGATTGCTTTTGTATTGAGCGATCCTGCGTGTACTCGCCACGTGCTTGCAAGGGTTGGGCATGGCCCTCGGTTATTGCTTCTGCCTTGCAGTGGAAGCCCATGATAAGAAACATCCAGGTTGCCTCCAAGGTGCCGCGGGTTTCTTGGGTTTCGATGGTTCGACGATGTAAGATGTGAGGTCTCCATGCGCAACACCGCAGGACATCCGAGGGTCTCAGGCATGGGTTTCTTATGGGTGGTTTCTTGTGGTCGAGCTCCTACTGCATTAGAGAACGCGTTTCATGGGCGTTTGCCTTGGGAACATCCGGCGGCGCGTTTCGAACCGGGGGGCGGCCCCCCCCCCAACACTCGGCGCCGTCGATCAAAACCAAGGGGACTTCCTCTCCCCGAACCCCCCCCTTTCCGACCCCCCCCCCCTCCCAAGAGGGAGGGGGGGTTGAAGCCCCCCCTCCCCCCCCCCTCTCGGCGCCGGCGCCGGCGGCCGCCAGCAGCGCCGACGGCGGGGACGCAGCGACGATGACCAGAGGCAGCCCTGGGGGGAGGGGTGGAGGTTCCATATCAAAAGAGGCATCATAGCCTCATCAATCTAGATTGATCCACTCACGGATCCACTGCAATTGATTTTCATTGAATTCATTCCATGCGTAGCATGCTCTCCCCTAGTGGACCGTGAACGGGACCCAGTCCCCTGCCGGTCGTCTAGTGCCGCCATCATAGGCAACCAGAGGGGCCATCATAGGCACCTCGCACCCAATTCGGGGCCATCAGCATGGCTCGTCTTGGGAAGAAGGACTATCATAGGCCTTCGCGCTCAGTTTGTTCATTGAAATCAACTTTCTCGTCGTCGTCGTCCTCCTCCTCCTTCTCCTCCTCCTCTTCCTGGTCCCCACCCCATCGGAGCCGCGATACAGGCAGTGCGGGCAGCACCTCGACCTCGATCGGGTCGTGCTCGTGAATGTCACGGTTTCCGCGATCATGGGTATGTGCACGGTGCGTTTCAGGGAGTCCGCAATCGTAGGTCGGGTCGTGCTCGTGAATGTCACGGTTTTCTTGTTCACGAGTGTGGTCACAGGGCATTTCACGGAGTCCGCAATCATAGGTCGGGTCGTGCTCGTGTGTTTCACGGTCTTCGTGATCATGAGCGCGATCACAGTGCATGTCACGGAGTCCGCAATCATGCCGTGCTCGTGAATTTCAAGGCTTTCGTGGTCATGAGCGTGGTCCCGGTGCGTTTCACGGAACCCGCAATTATAAGTTGGGTCGTGCTCGTGAATGTCACGGTCTTCTGATTTACGAATGTGGTCACAATACATTTCACGGAGGATGAGCACGACGGACGTTGTTGGTGGACGTCCGCCCTTGCCCTTTCCCCCCGGGTGAGGACCGTCGTAGGCCTTACCAGTGAGGACCTCCATGAGGCCTCGCACACCTCGCAGTTTCCATCATTGGAACTGCTGGGGTCGAACAGAGCCCCGCAAACCTGGCACCGCACGGGCAGTGCCAGGGGCGGCGGCCCGTCTTCCCATCTTACCATCATGGGGGGATGCGAAGTCCCTGAAGACGGGACGGGGTGGGCACGAGCGGGCATCATAGCTGGCTCCATATCAAAAAAGGCATCATAGCCTCATCAATCTACATTGATCCACTCACGGATCCGCTGCAATTGATTTTCATTGAATTCATTCCATGCGTAGCGTGCTCTCCCCCCCTTGGCGCCGAGGAGGAGGGGGGGATCAAATCCCCACCCCTCCACCCCCCGGCGCCAGCGCCGGCGCCGGCGCTGGCGGCGACCAGCAGCGCCAGCGCTGGCGCCGGCGACGGCGGGGACGCAACGACGATAACCACCACTACCACCAACACCACTACCACGACCCCCACCAACGCCTCAACCCACCACCACCACCACCACCAACCCACCGCACAACCACCACCACCACAGCCACCACCACCACCACAACCACCACCACCACAACTCACCATCACCACCACCACCACAAAAACCCACCACCACTACCACCACCACCACCACCACCACCACAATTTACCACGCCAAGACCACCACCGCCACAAAAACCCACCACCACTACCAGCAGCACAACCCGCCACCACCAACACCACCACAAACCACCACACCACCACCACCACCGCCACCACCACCACCACCACCACCAGCACCACTTCCACAAACCACCGCCACCACCATAACCCACCACCACCACCACCACCAAACCACCACCACACCACCACCAAACCACCACCCACCACCACCACCACCACAATCCACCACACCACCACCACACCACACCACACCACACCACCACCAAACCACCACCACCACCGCCACCACCCACCACAACAACCACCACCACCACAAAAAACCAAAACACCACCACCACCAAACCACCACCACCACCACCACCACCACCACCACAACCCACCACCGCCACCACCACCACCACCGTCGTCCTCGTCGACGCTCCCTGCCGCCGCCGCCCACCGCCGCAGGGCCAAAAAAACGAAATCGTCGTCCCCGCCGCCGCCGCCAGCCGCCGCCGCCGCCGCCGCCGGCGGGGGGGGGGTTCGAGACCCCCCCCCGCTCCGTCACGGGAGGGGGTGGGGGGGCGGGGGGCGGGTTCGAACCCTCCCCCGACCCCCTCCATCCAGGAAGTGGGGGGGGTTTGGTCCCCCCCCCCCCGCCTCCAAGCGACTTCAAAACGCGTTTTTTCAACCGTATACACCATGGGCGGAAAGCAAATCCGCATCTGCGGCCTCGAGGGGCAGGCCACTTGGGCCGCGACCTCGCGCTCGCGAGGCGCGCGTTTTCGCAGAGGCCCCGCGCGGTAAGCGTCCGTGCGACCGCGCGTCTGCGTGATCGCGCCCCGGAGCCCGGACCGCGAGGGCGCGGATGCGGACATGTGACATGTTTGCCCGTCGTGGACAAAAAGGGTGGAAGCGGGGAGGGCGGGCCCATGTGTATATATATATATGTATATAGATATACATATATAGATATGTGTATGTACATATATATATATGTGTATATGTATATATATATATACATATGTATATGTGTATATATGTATATATATATATATATGTATATATGTATATATGTATATATGTGTATATATATGTATACATGTACATACACACGTATATATATATATATAGATAAATATCGTTCAATGTTCCTTTCGATGCGTGGACACCCGGATGTCTGGAGCACTTCCCCAGGGCCGGCGTTGCATCCCGAGTTGCTTTTTGACGGCCCCACTGCACGTACGAGTGACACTTCGTCCGAGTGGCCTTTGGAGCGGGCCCACTGGGCCCCCCCGTCGCCGAACGCGAGGCGGCATCGGCGTCTTGCGCGCTTGGGTTTGGCCCCCCCGCGGCCCCCCAAGAAGCCGCGCACCAAAGGGCGCTCCTGCCCAGGGTCACTGTTGCGTGTCGTCGACCCGGGCCCGCGGAGGGCCCCGAGGGGGCCGAGAGCTACGGCAAACCTCTGCCTCGATCTCTTCGAGACGCCGGAACACCTGGGGCGGAGGGGCGGCGCCGTTGTGCGCACCCCCGTCAGGAGGAGGAGGAGCACTCCTTGCTCTCGCCGCCCGCCGCCGCCCCGCCGGCGAGCTCGAGCCCCAAGCTCGGGGGCGGCCAAGAGGAGGGTGAGGAGTGGGAGGGGGTATACAGTCGGGCCGAGGCATGAGATCGAGGCTGGTTCGGGGAGGGTGCCCCAAGGGTGGCTGTTCTTGTGCATCCTAACGGGGGCACCCTCGGGTGTTCTGTGCGTTTTGGCCGGCGGAGGGTCTCACGTGCTGGAAGGATGTTCTTCTGTCCGTGGTCCGAGTGTATTACTCGGCCACGCGCAGAGGGGGGTAGGGGGAGGAGGGAAGGCTTCTTCGAAGCACCCCTGCTTCTTAGAAGGTGCTGGCCTTATCTACAGATGCAGGGCCGGCGTCTTCTAAGAAGCAGCCTCCTTATAAGAAGCCTTCCCCCCTCCCCCTGCCCCATCTGCGCGCCGCCAAATCATGACGGGGGCCATGCTATCTCTCCAGATGTCGTGGCGCCCACCTCTCAATTTCCGCACGGCTCCTGACCCCCTCCAGGGCCGCACACGTGCTTCGGGCCATGATTCGGCGAACGTCCTCCTCGGACTCTGAGATCCGACGTTGCGGAAAAATGCAACATCGCGAAAAATCCAGACTGGACCCCTAGACTGAAGTCGGGCATGTCCCTCTACAGGAGGAATGTTCAAGAATAGTACATACAAATCTGGGGGCGATGCTCCTATTATGGCTGGGCTATTTTCCCATATGCGAACATGGGATTATTGTTATTACTTCGACCGCGCGGCCCTCCTCCTCACCTCCCCCTCTCTTCCCCATCCGACTCAGAGCAGGATGATGCACTTAGAGTATGATGATGCCGAATGAAGACGATCACAGTATGATGACGATAATGATGATGCAGATGATGAGTGATGCTGATGAAAACGAACATGATGATGACGATGACGATGATGATGATGCTGATGATGGTGATGCTGATGATGATGATGCTGATGGTGATGATGATGGTTATGATGATGATGACGACGATGGTGATGCTGATGATGATGAAACTGATGAGGTGATGATGATGATGATGAAGCTGATGATGAAGACGGTGACGATGATGATGATGATGATGATGACGATGACGATGACGATTATGATGGTGATAATGGTTGGTATGATGATGCTGATGATGATGACGACGATGATGATGATGATGATAATGATGTTGCTGATGGTGGTGATGATGATTATGATCATGATGATGATGAGGATGATGCTGATGATGATGTTGATGTTTATGTTGATGAGTATTGTGATGATGGTGATGGTGATGGTGATGGTGATGGTGATGGTGATGGTGATGGTGATGGTGATGGTGGTGGTGTTGGTGATGACGGTGCTGATCACCAGAGGGGGCCAGATTGCAAGAATATATCCAGCGGTTTGCCTGTTTCGGTGGCCAGACTCGTCTGCGCTCAGAGCAGGTCCTGAGGACGTTTCAGGCTGTTTGTTGGTTTGTGCACTCTTGAAGAGGAGGTCGCCAGGGATATCTGAAGGCCTCCGTTCGCGCCCAGATTGCGGGGATGTCTCAATCGGTTTGCTTGTGTGCCAGCTCAACATCATCCGCTTTCGGAGCAGAGTTGGGGATGTCTCGTGCGAGGCGCTGGTTTTCTCACCCCAGGGGGGCCAGATGGCGAGGGTGTCTCAAGCGATCTGCTTCTTTGGGGACCCAGGCTTGTCTGCGCTCAGAGCAGATTCTGAGGATGTCTCAGGCGGCTTGCTGGTTTTCGTACTCCTACGGGGGGGGCCGCCAGGGATATCTCACGGCTTCCGTTCGCGCCCAGATTGCGGGGATATCCCGGTTTGCTTGTTGACCAGCTCAACATCCTCCGCTGTCGGAGCAGATTTGGAGGATGTCTCGAGCGAGGCGCTCATGTTCGCCCCCAAGGGGAGCCAGTTTTTTGTTTCGATGTCCCGAGCGGTGTACGTCTTTTGCTGGCCAGACTCGTGGGCACGGAGTTTCTTCAGGATGCCACAGGTTCGATGCTCGTTTCGGGGACCTTCCTGGAGCCCACCTACTCAACCCCAGTCCGACTCAAGTTCGACTCAGGTTCGACTCAGGATCTGTTCGACCCCAGTCCGACTCAAGTTCGACTCAAGTTCGACTCAAGTTCGACTCAGGTTCGACTCAGGTTCGACTCAGGTTCGACTCAGGGTCGACCCAAATCGACTGATGTTATCTGATGTTCGACGCAGCCTCGACGCACGAGTGGAGCGAGTGGCTCCAAAGGATTGCAAAAAACCCAGGATTGCAAAAAAAAAAAAAACATGATTGCAAAAAAAACAGGATTGCAAAAAAAAACAGGATTGCAAAAAACCCAAACGAAGGATTGCAAAACAACATAACGAAGGATTGCAAAAAAAACCGAAGGATTGCAAACAAAAACCCGAAGGGTTTTTTTGCAATCCTTTGCAATCCGAAGGTCCCCAGAACGAGCATCCAACACAGGCGATCCCAGCAGGCTCCAGGAGGCCCCTCGGAGGCCACAGCAGGCCCCCAGGGGAGGCGCCCCAGGAGGCCCCTAGGAGGCCCCAGGAGGGCCCAGGAGGCCCCAGGAGGCCCCAGGGGCAGGAGGCAGCAGAATGCCACAGGAGTGGCTCCAATCCCATGTGCCTACGTATGCTCCTGTTGATTGGGCCTCACCTGGAGCACGAGCATCTTTGGTGCGTTCCGCATGGTTCTAGAGACTGTCCTTCTCCTGCGCGTGCAGTCCTGAGTGCTTAACGTGTGTTCCTATAGATTGGACCTCCCATTTGTGCACGAGTCTTTGGTGTGTCACGTGTGTTCCTATAGATTGTCCTTCTCCTGAGGCTCCACTTCGCAGGAGACCCCAAGGGGCTCCAGGAGGCCCCAGGAAGCCCCAGGAGGCCCCAGGAGGCCCCAGGAGGCCCCAGGCTCATGCGCAGAGACGCGCTTGTACTACTGAGACTCATTCACACTCCAACTCATCCACACTCCCAGACCGTCACTACTCAAACCTGCTTATATTCTAAAACTCTTGCGCCTCGACGCTCACGGCGGACAGGCCCCTGCTAATAGATGCACATTTGGGGAGCTCCACGCAGAATAAGAATAGTTTTAAATGATTGTTTGTTTTTCCTCCTAAATGCGCCTGTCGGAGGACATGCCCGACCTAACCCGGATCGAGCCGTGAGGGTATCCGGGCCCTCGAAGCCCGGCGCAAAAACGACCCGTGCAAAAAAAAAATGGCGCCGGGATTTGAGACCAGAGACTGCCCGCAGGCGTCCAAAAGACCCAAACCAGGAGGGTCAAAAGAGGCCCCCGGAGGCGTCCCCAAGAGGCCCAAACGAGGCCCCCAGGTGGGTCAAAAGAGGCCCCCAGGAGGGTCCCCAAGAGGCCCAAGATGCCCCCAGAGGCTTCACACCTCAGCTGCCTCAATACGCCCACTTGGAAACGCACCACGTACCGTACGGGCTTTAGCGTCCGTGTCAACACGTTGCGTGTTGGCTCAGCGTATTGGCCCACGTTTTGGTGAACGCATCGCGTCATATCCTCGTTCCCAGTCTGCGTGCTGAGCTCCGTATAAATACGCTGCGTGTTGCATGTTACGTATCGGGGCAGCTAAGCGTCACACGAGTGGGGCGGAGAGAAAAAACACACAGACACAAATGATCGTCGACTCCTAGGAAAATATGGGGAAATATTGGAAGTGGGGGGTGGAAGAAGACAACATTCCAGAAATAATATGGGAAATATAAGGGATTCCTCGGATCTGTGTCTTGTTCTTTGTGTGTCCCTGGGCCCCTTCAGCCCTCCCCTGGGCGCCCCCGACAAGCAGGGGGAGCCCAGCTTCTTCGAGCGCGAGGGGGGAGTGAGAAGGAGACTGTCTTCGCAGCAGGTTCGGAAGTCCTCGGGCCTTCTGAGACGTTTTTTGAGCCTTCCCCAGAGACATAGGAAACCACCTCTCAGGAGGCGCGAGGGCGTCTGAGAAGTCCCGCCGCCTTCTGAGAACGCCTTCTCCTCCTCCTCCTCCTCCTCCTCCTCCTCCTCCTCCTCCTCCTCCACTGCATGTCGTTTTTGGGTCATAACTCGGGCCTCCTGCGGACGCTCGGGACGATCCAGGCACCCCTGGAACGCCCTCGGCGAGGCGCAGCCGCTGGAGCGCATCCCGAGGCTGGACAGCGGCCGAGAAACGAGGACGACGCCCGAAAACTTTGAGCCTCCAGCCCGAAAAGCTTCCCCCCCCCCCTTCGCTCGCCTGCGGCACGAGTGGGGCGCGCCCTCCCCCTGGGCGCCCCCGACAAGCCGGGGGAGCCCGGCTTCTTCGAGCGCTTCGCCTGCCACGAGCGCCAGCGGCGGCCCGCGCTCTGCCCGCGCCCCGGCGCCGGGCTCGGCAGCCGCCTCTCCCGCCCTGCCGCGGGGTTCTGCCGCCGCTGCAGCTGCGCCGCCTCGCTCGGCGACGCTCAACGAGTGACCTGTGGTCATCTGTGGTCAAGCAGTGGCGAAGCGTCCCGGCTCGCCTATAGGCCTACCAACGAATGTGCTAAGAACCTTTTTTGCGGTTGCCGCGAACTGGTCTTAGAACGTTTCCAGCTGGGATGGTCTTGTTTTGACACATCGGGCTTATGTTCTAAGAACATCGTACTTGTTCTTAGGACACTGTGGGGTGCTAAGAACATTTCGTGGTAGGCCCATAGGAATGCCGAGACGGTCGCAAACACGGCTCGGGTATAGCCAGGACCCCAGGGAAGGGGACCAGGTTAGTAATAGGGCCCCGGGGCCCCTAAAATGGCCAGAGTCACTAAACCAGGTCTGTCGCAGCTGTTTTTTTCGGGTGACGGCAGTTCCGGGTAGTGAAACGGGGCCTGGGGGGCGCCCCCCAGTACACATCATTAAACCAGGTCCCACTAAACCCAGTTTTGCCAATGCCCGAATGACAAAGCACGAAGACGGAACAAAAACAAGTGTCTTTTTCGATTCCAAGAACAACGAAGTGCTGTTGCTCCTGCTCCCCCCCCGGAGAAGGAAGAGGTACCGCTACCGCTAGCCCTCCTCCGTTTTCGCTTTCATGGGCCTTCTGGGATGCCCTCGTCGCCACGGCTGGAGTCGTCTCGGCATTTCTGGTCGGAGCGCACGCTCGGAGAAGTCCGCGGAGTAGCGGTATCGCGGTATCGGTACCTTTTGGTTGTTTTCCCCACCTTCTGCTGCTGCTGCTGCTGCTGCTGCTGCTGCTGCTGCTGCTGCTGCCAGTTCTCTTCCTGCCCCTGCTGCTGCTGCTGCTGCTGCTGCTGGTGCTCTTCCTGCACCCGCTGCTCCTGCTGGGGGTTGAGCGGAGGGAGGGGGAGGTGGAGGTTGAGCGGACTCATGGCCGGGAGGAGATGTTCGATCTCGCTTCCCAGGTGCAGAAAGCAGGCCAGTTTGGCTCGATCGTTGCGACGTTTTGCTTCTGCTTGCCAGATCATTGGCATCATGTCTTCGCACTATGTTGCGCATTAAGCCCTTGGTCGAAAGTATGGCGAACCAGAGCCGGGAAGGATCGGCATTGAAGCCTTGTTGGCCGGCCTTGGCGACCACATTTCACAATGGGTGCACAGACCATCGTGGTGCTGCAGAGCAGACCAGCGCATCGCGGATGCGAACAGGATCCTGCGGCCAGCCTCAGCCGGGTGCCAGTGGGAGCACAGGATGAATTACTCTGACCTCGTCCTCTCCACCCCCCTGGCGCCGATACTGATTCAGCTTCTCGCTGGGATCACTGACGAGTGCGGCCAGCCTCAGCCAGGTGCCAGTGGGAGCACAGGATTAATTACGCTCTGACTAACTGGTTGGTGGAACACCCTAACTCTGGAGTGGTCCCACAGAGTAAGCTGGCTACTCGACGTATGTACGTCTCCATATCATCCTCTCCACCACCCTGGCTCCGATAGTGCTTCGGCTTCGCGCTGGGATCACTGCCGAGTGGGACGACTGTCGTGTGGTTAACGTCCCCTCATGTTTGCTGCCCCATCCCCCCCAATGATGTGCATTACGAATTGCGCCGTCCGATCACATGAAGGATCGCTTGACGAACAGAAAATCTACCTCGTCTATAACTGCCAGACTTCACCAGTGGCGAGCGGCAGTCAGGATGACTGGGCAGGCCCTACGACCTTCAAGAGGGTTCGTCCGATGCGTCCACAGTTGGTCTCGTTACGGGCCATACATCTCTGTGCAACTGCAGGCCCATTAGACCCTGTCGACGGCACCCAGCTGGGATCGCCCCCCACCTGGGTGCTAAGAAAAAGCACCTGGATGGGCACACCCCCAGTAGAGTGGGCGGAGCCGCCCCTCAGAGCTGTTGATTCGCACGCGGTGGCATAACGCCAAGCAATGCCAAGCGATGCCGAGCAACGCCACGTGATGAACATACGGCCCACTATGCTGTCGACGCTACTGCGTCATGTCTGCGTCAGTGCGTTCACTGCACACTGCACGTGCTGGCCCTGATGGTCTGTTGAAAGTTCTGCGCCCCCGATGCTTAGTAAAGCGGGAAGGCGAAACGGAGGAGGGGGAGGATTCGATGGATTGTAGAGGATGTCTGCGTTTGCGCATCTGCTACCGACGTGATTCGCCGTACAGTCGGCAGGGCAGCGCGCAGCGCGCAGCACAATGCAACGCGAAAACACGGACATTGATGTAATTCCTGGCGTGTTGTATAGTTCCCCGATCGAGCTTGGGGTCGGGGCTGGGACCTCCATTGCCGCTGAGACAAGCCGATGGGTGCAACCCACAAGTGGTCATCACCATTCAGTCGGACTCATCGGGGTTGAGCCTGGACGTGGAGGTCCATGCTGGTGCTTCCTTACTGCATCCCTTGAACATGCGAATTCGCGCGACTGGTATTTGTGGTGGGTTGCGTCGTTGGGGCTACTGGATCGGTATCCTGACTTTTCAGATAGGTTGTCCCAAATCGTTTGGTGAATCAAGAAAGGGGGGAGTGGGGGGCGGGGAGGGTTTTGAAGGTGGATGGGAGGAGGGGCTGGTTGCAGGCAGTGGAGGAGAGATAGAGGGGAATGAGGGCGGGGCGCGGGGAGAGGAGGGAGGGCGGGGGAGAGGGTCTTGCTGGGGAGCACCTTAGGGAATGCCAGGGCTGCGCGCTAGGGGAGGCCAGCCCTTATGCGATCCACCGTTCAGTTGCAACTGCGCTGTGGGAGTCAGACTCGGCGGCTGCGGTGAGCTTCTGCGATCTGTGCTCAGAAAGGGAGGCTTGCAGTGGAACTCGGCGCGCGTCTGGTTTACGTTCGGGGCGGCACTGAGCTGAGGTACATCGATTCGGAAGGCGGAGCCCCCAGTTGTAAAATCTCAGCCCGCGGCGGGCTTCAGTTCTTGGAGCATCGCTTGGCAGTTACCCTCCTCCCACACGTGCGTGGACGGCCGTTGGAACTGAGACTGCGGATCACCCATGCCGGTCGAGAAGTCAAACACCGTGCCGCCAAAACGGCCATTCACTTCATCCATACCCGCGCGTGGTATGGCTAGATCTCGCGCTCGGGGGAGAGGCGGGGAGCAGGACCGGGAGGGGGACAGCGGAGGGACTGTTGCAGGAGCGGGTTTGCGCGAGGGTGGTATCTGAGGGCCCCCGTGCAGAGGTGTGGGCATCAGGGAGTCCCCTTGGGAGCAGGCTCGGGCCGTGCGGAAGAGCCAGCCCAGACGTGCGACGCCCTGATGTTTTCAGCAGGCCGGCGTCCCTGGAGGTCCCGACCCTTTCCCCGGGACCAGTTTTTCGGCCCGAGTCGTTTCTGGACGCTCCCATGGCCCGGCGAGGCCCCCCCGTGGCCGAAAATGGCCAACCTCCCGTCATGATTTTGTCAGGGGAGCTGTCAGGGGAGCTCCTCTGTCGGGGGAGCTCTGCTGTCAGGGGAGCTCTTCTGTCCCAGGTCCGACCCAACCGTGGCGTCGGGGGGCCTTCGGCCTCTGGGCGGCCTCCCCCGCCGGGGGTGAGGCCTCACCCGCCAGACGACCCCAACCCATCCCGAAGGGCTCAATTGTCCCTGCACTTCCAGAGGGGGGGGGGTTCGGGGAACACTGAAGAAGCACACATAGAACCCGTACCCCCCCCCCAACCCGAAATTCGGGTCCCATTCGGGTCTTCGGGTTGGGTTGGGGGTGGTCTGGTCTAGGTAGTCTTCTGTCGGGCCTGCCCCCCTACAGGGGGATTTTCGACGACAAGTTAAGAAGAAAAAAACACCTTTAAACATACCCCAGAAAGGTAAACAAATACAAAACAGATAGTCCCCAGACTATTTCTGCTTTATGTTTTGAGTATGTTTGGGGTATTTTTTTAACTCTTCGTCGAAAATCCCCCTGCAGGGGGGACAGGCCCGACATAAAAAGACAGTCAGTGAGGCCTCGGGGGGGCTCTGCCTTCGGGCGGCGGTGGGCGCCGGCCGTGGGCCCCCCGGCCACCGGCGCACAGGCCGCCGCCTCGTCGCGACCCCATGCTGGCAGGGATCGGCCAGCCGCGCAGCAGGGCATCGAGGATGGCTCTCTAGGGGGCCCCATAGGGTTTCGTCGGGCCTGGCCCTCTACAGGAGGAATATGTTCAAAAATCGTAAGACATAGTCTTGGGACCTTCTTTTTTTTTTGTTCCAGTAGTTTGTTTGGGCAAAATTGGGGGATCTGTTTTAGGTATTTTCCATGTTTTCGTCCAAAATCCCCAAGTAGGGAGACATGCCCGACCGAATCCTAGGGGAACGAGAAGTAGCATAAGCATAGAAACTCGGAAGTCCGCGCAGATTGCTCGGGTCGGCGCTGGGGCCCCCTGGCGGCGCCTCTGGCGCCGACCCTGGCGCGCTCCGCGCGCCAGGGAGCGGGGTCTGGCGCGGATCCAAGAAATCCGCGCGGACCTCCGAGTTGTTACGCTTATGGTGTAATTTCTCGTTCCCCTAGGATCGGCTACAGCATTGAGTTACCCCGAGCTGTTTTTTCCGCAGAGTCTAGGAAACATGCGTAGAATGGTTGTCGAGTCTCCGAAAATGCTACGCACGTTTCGTACATTCGGCGAAAAGAGTGGTGGGTACATCAATTATGTAGTTGGCCCCCTACTCGAATAACATAGTGAAGGCGTAGCCTCACTTGGATGATGGATCTGGGCGGCTTGTTCGTTTAAAGCACATCTGCAGACAAGGCTCCTATCCCTAGTATGTTTGGCCCTCCTAACTCAGGTCCCCTCCCAAAGCGTCAGGGGTCCTTCCACTGCTAATCAGCAAAGGGGCAGCTGCCTGCGGGACGCTCCTTGCGCGTAGTTAGGTTGTGTCCACGTCCTGCCTTCGTCTTGGGTTAGGGTTCAAGCCCCGGAAGATCAAATTCGGGGAACTTTGACGAGAAGGTCCCGATATCCCTGGTCGAAAACTGGCCGACTCTGGCTAAATCCCGTCAATCTGGTTTAATCTCGCTTAGTCTGGCCCCATCCCGGGCCTCTTCCGGCCTATGCCAGCCCATTGGCCCCTTTAGTCGGGCTCCATGTCCCTGGATCGTTCTGGCGGAAGCCTCCTGGGAGTTGCCTCCTCCGTCTCGGGGAAGCTCGGGTGGGGGGTGGGGGGGCGGGCGTTACCAGCCTGGAACATCTCACCCTCTCCCTCTTTGCGCAGGACGATCGATTTTCCTCTCGACGCGCCAGCGGCGATGAGCGGTTGGCGAGAGAGAGAGATAGAGAGAGCGTCGGCGCCGCCGGGCGCACGGCGTCTGGACAGTTTGCTGGCGGTAGCCGGGGGGTGAGGAGAGATGTACGGCAGGTTCGCGTCTTGCCGACCGGCGGCGACCCCAGCGCGTGCGTTTAAGGTTGAACGCCGCCCGTGGCCCAGAATCGGCCAGTCGTTGAACGATCTGGCGTTCACGGAACGGTCGATCGTTCAAGTTTGAATGATCCCCGCGGTGTCGGGAACCAGCGCCAGGGTCGACACAACTCGAACATGCCGTATATATATATATATATTCATGTTGGGTGCGATCCGAGTGCGATGAGGGTTTGTGGGGTCCGTGGGGCAAAGCGTGACCTGTCTGTGGCAGTTCGTAACCCAGCCCCCTTCCCCCGTACAATCTTAACGGTGGCTGGCTTGGGCGCTGCGGGTACGATTTCCCTCCGCCCCTTGATTGAACTTGAAGGTTTTGTATTATGAGCAAGGTATCAATCGGATCGGAGTTGAAAAACACGACGTACATCAGATCCACAACATCCGAAGTCAAATCCGCGTGGACGGAAATCGGATCCACCGCAGCACACATTTAAACCAATGTAGGACCGGCACCCACTTAATTGGATCCGCCATAGTTCATCTCACACGCGCCAGCGCAGGAGTTGAAGGCATCGTGCCTGGACCCAAGAGGAACAGCTTTCGTTTTGAGGATGTATGATTGGCATTGTCAACCGCCGATGCTGATCTCAACTTCAGTTTTTGAGGGTGCACTCTTAAGCCGCAGGCGATTTCGCGCCCCCCCCCGACTTTTTCACGAAAGACCCAGCGACTCGAGAATACACCCAGGGTCGAGGATCGACGTTCTATCGGCGCGGGCGTCCCGCGTCCCGGGGGGCCGCAATCCCAGAACCCCGACCTCATGCCTTTTTCGGGGGCGGCAAAGAGGGGGGTGATGACTAGGGGGGGGTGGATATCCTGTCGTGGGCCATGATATTTCCCCAGATTTCATGGCGCCTCTTCTTGTTTCATTACGTCCCTGGCCCCCCCGCTGGGCCGCGCACATGCCGCCGGTCATAATTTGCACCCACCCCCTCTTGGACACCCCCCTCTTGGCCGCTCCCGACCCGACCTCATGCTTTTTGTTCACAACGTCGACTCCCCAGACCCCCTGGGGTAGTGAAGAGCACATGACGGGCGGTTTCTCGCTATTTCTCACCAGCCTCGAAATCATCCCTATCCCTAAGATTGACACGCCACAAGGCGAGGACAGTCTCAGGGATGCGCCCTGAAAAACTGAGGGGATCCCTAAGATTGGCATTGTGTTGAGGCGATGCCCAGCTTAGGGATAGGGATATGTTCCAGGCTGGTAAATTTTGGGCGTCCAGGGGCCCTTACCGGCCCGCGTGGCCGTCAAAAAGCGACCCAGGATGAAAAATGGTCCAGGGGATATGGGTCGAGACCTCTGAGGGTCGACGTTTATGAACAAATCATGACGTCGGGGGTCTGGGTCTGGAGGTCACGATCCATTCCCCGGGATCGGTTTTTCATCTGAGCCGTTTTCTGACAGTCCCGAGGCCCGGCAAGGGCTCCCAGAAATCCCAAAGAACTACCGACAATTATCCTGGCGAAGAGCCCAACCATACGCAATTCCGAATGCCGCCGTTGTAAGTATCGTCGTTGGTGGAACACCCGATGGGGCCACGAAGCGTGTGAGGGGTGCGCCGAAATGGAGGTGGAACTGCATGCGGACCCTGCCACTGGGGCCTTCGGTGGAGCACCCTGTGGGGCCACGAAACGTGTGGGGGGTGCGCCGAAATGGAGGTGGAACTGCATGCGGACCCTGCCATTGGCGCCCTCGGTGGAGCTCCCTATGGGGCCGCGAAACGTGTGAGGGGTGCGCCGAAATGGAGGTGGAACTGCGCGACCCTGCCACTGTGAGGCCTTAGCATGCGGACCCTGCACTTGGGCCTTAGGCGGAGCTCCTATGGGGCCACGAAACGTGTGAGGGGTGTGCCGAAATGGAGGTGGAACTGCATGCGGACCGTGCCACTTGGGCCTTAGGCGGGGCTCCCTATGACGCCACGAAACGTGTGAGGGGTGCGCCGAAATGGAAGTGGAACTGCATGCGGACCCTGCCACTGGGCCTCAGGTGGAGCTCCCTATGGGGCCACGAAACGTGTGAGGGGTGCGCCGAAATGGAGGTGGAACCGCATGCGGACCCTGACACTGGGGCCTTCGGTGGAGCTCCCTATGGGGCCACGAAACGTGTGAGGGGTGCGCCGAAATGGAGGTGGAACCGCATGCGGACCCTGACACTTGGGCCTTCGGTGGAGCTCCCTATGGGGCCACGAAACGTGTGAGGGGTGCGCCGAAATGGAGGTGGAACCGCATGCGGACCCTGACACTTGGGCCTTCGGTGGAGCTCCCTATGGGGCCACGAAACGTGTGAGGGGTGCGCCGAAATGGAGGTGGAACCGCATGCGGACCCTGACGCTTGGGCCTTCGGTGGAGCTCCCTATGGGGCCACGAAACGTGTGAGGGGTGCGCCGAAATGGAGGTGGAACCGCATGCGGACCCTGACACTTGGGCCTTCGGTGGAGCTCCCTATGGGGCCACGAAACGTGTGAGGGGTGCGCCGAAATGGAGGTGGAACCGCATGCGGACCCTGACACTTGGGCCTTCGGTGGAGCTCCCTATGGGGCCACGAAACGTGTGAGGGGTGCGCCGAAATGGAGGTGGAACCGCATGCGGACCCTGACACTTGGGCCTTCGGTGGAGCTCCCTATGGGGCCACGAAACGTGTGACGGGTGCGCCGAAATGGAGGTGGAACCGCATGCGGACCCTGACACTTGGGCCTTCGGAGGAGCTCCCTATGGGGCCGCGAAACGTGTGAAGGGTGTGCCGAAACAGCGAACATGCGGGGGGCAGAGGCAGGGATGGGAGGAGGAGGGAGGAGGAGGGGGAGGAGGAGGAGAGGAGGAGAGACGCGGGGCACCGTCTCTTCAAAACGAGGACCCAACACCACAGGATGGTTGGGAAAAAACAACTCCTGTTGTGGCTCGCTTCCTCATGACTCGAGGGGGTCCAGCAGTGGGGAACGACGCCAGGCTCGAGAAAAGCGCAGCCTCGGAGATCTGGGTGCGGTTGGCCCTGTGCGTTCGCCTTGTGGAGGACGATCAATGGAGAGGAAGCATGTTGCCAAATAATTTCCGGATGTCTAGAACATGTACTGAGCATGCTTGAAACATATAAAAATGACGTGTTTCAAACATGTTTAGCCTATTTTTCTTACATTTGAAACACAGTTTAAGTTCAAGGATGGGACTGTTAGGGTGGCCATTCTCATGGCATCCGCAAGGCTCGTCCACCGCAGGGGCCCGGGAGGCGATCGAGGCCGGCCCGGGCCGGGCGCCTGCCCCGCGCAGCCCCTCCCCCCCCCCGGGCCGAGGCGTCGTGCGCCCTGCCGCAGGGAGGGCGCGCGTGCCCCGGTCGCCCACGAGGAGCCGCGAGCGCCCCCCCCCAGGGGGCATCCAGGCTTCCCAGGCCCCCTCGGGCTGTGGAGGACGAGCAGTGGAGAGGCAGCATGTAGCCAAGTCATTGCCAGATGTCTAAGACATGTCTCAAACATATGTTTAGCAGGCTCGAAGCATGTTTAGCATGTTTAACAGGTTCGAAGCATGTAGCCAAATCGTTGCCAGATGTCTAATTACAACATGTTTCGAACAGGTTCTTGAACAGGTTTGAAAACATGTTCAGCACATCTTCCTTACATTTTAAGCCCGTTTCAAATTCAAGGATCGGACTTTTAGGGTGTCCACTGTCGTGGCACCCAGAACCCTCGGGCAAAGAACAAATTATCATGTTCCTTACATGTTAGACCCACTGCAAATTCAAGGATCGGACTTTTTGGGTGTCCACTGTCGTGGCACCCACAAGCCTCGGGCAAGGAACAACTTATCCCCGGAGGTGTCGTCGCATTCTCGGCCTCCGGAGAGGCCCTCGCCGGCCCTCGGGGCCGTCGCACAACGACTCGGGATACAAAAAAAAATCGTCCAGGGGAACGGGTCGAGACCTCTGAGGGTCTCACCAGCCTCGAACGTATCTCTATCCCTAATACTGACACGCCAAAAGGCGATGACAATCTTAGGGATTCGCCTTCGAAAAAAAAAGGGAGGGAATCCCTAAGATTGGCATCGTGATGAGGAGGTGCCCAGCATAGGGATAGGGATATGTTCCAGGCTGGTAAGGGTCGGCGCCATGAAGCGGTCATGGCGTCGGGGGTCTGGGTTCCTGGGGTCTGGGTGTCGGCGGCGAGCGCGGGGGGGAAGCGAGGAGGAGAATCAGGAGGACAAGAAACACACAGACACAATGAATCGTCGGTCCCCAAGAAAAATATTGGAAAATATGGGTATTGGGCGGGAAGACAAGAACCCAGAAAATACAGGAAAGTATGGGGAATCTGTTTATTTGTGTGTATTTATTTGTGTGTCCCAGGACCCCTTCAGAGAAGGTCTTCTCAGAAGATTCAGGAGTCGCCCGGCCTTTTGAGAAGTTCCCCACGCCTTCCCCGAAGGCATGACACTCTCTCAGAAGGCACGAGGTCCTCTGAGAAGTCCCGCCGCCTTCTGAGAAAGCCTTCTCCTTCTGTGTTCCCCCCCTCGCTCGCCGCCGAGAGCAGATGGCATCGGAGGATTGCGCCGCATTGCCGATGCATCAACGAGGCGGCTCGATGTGGAGCCCGTGTTTCCCCACGCCGACGTCGCCGATGCATCGCCGACGTCGCCGATGCATTTGCGATGCATCGGCGATGCGGCGCGATCCTTCGAGCCCATCTACTCAGACCCCACCGAGGAGGCCTCTGTAGGGTAAGGGGGGTGGCGCGGGAAGTGCTATGGGCCCCGAGAGCCGAAGGGAGCTCGCATCCCCGACCCTCCTTGGAGTCCTGGGGAAAACCTCCTCCCCCTCCTCCTCCTCCTCCTCCTCCTCCTCCTCCTCCTCCTCCTCCATCTCCTCCTCCTCCCTCTTGGAGTCCTGGGAAAAATTGCGAAGGAAGGTTTTTCTGGATATTCTGCCTGGGGCTCGCGCGTGGGGGATCGTCACGAAACGACGCTGGAGAAACTGCTCCTGGGGGATGGGTCGAAACGTCTAAGGGTGGACGCTCTGGCGAAGTCATGACGTCGGGGGGGCCAGCGGGATCCGGGCGTCGCAAGGGTCCCTACCAGCGTTTCTCTAGAGGCCCCGGTCAGGAGGCGGTCTGGCAGCCGTTTCGCCGGCCGGATACGTCCTCACGATTTGTTCAGGGACTGTGTGACCGCCTGCACGCAGTCTTCGTTCGTGGCCCAGAAGGCCACGATCCCGGGTAAACAGTACATGGCCGTGGTCAAGTTGTTCGCCTCATGAAGCTGGTTGGTAGAACACTACGAGCTATGATTCTCTATTTCAACATGTGTTGCATTGTGGTGTGTGTTATTATGATGAAGTGCGTACTGTATCACGTTTAATAGATTGAAGTGTTTCTGTGTGCTTGTAATTCAAGCTAGGACGAAGCAGCTCATTTGGCTAAGCGCGCGTAGATAAGCCAAGTAAGCGAACGTAAGTTCAGCTGCTTAGTTAAGACAACTTGAAGGTTTAGTCTGTTGAAGTCAGGTTAGCCCAACCTGCGACAGATGCGAATGCAGTTTTAGCATGGGGTTACGTGCGTTACGTGCGTCAATACACACCATCCAAGTACTGCCTGGCTTAAGATGCCTTCATGCTTAATCGCATGGGTTACAACGCCTATATGATGTTTTGCGTGGTTGCCAGTCTGTGTTGTCATAGTTTACGTCCCGTCGTGGTGTTAACATCATGCTTGGTTGGGTTCAAAGATGTAGCATTAGTTACCGCTGCGCGCATGTTGCTTTCAACTTGTAAGCAAAATAGGTATGGTAACCGTTGTGCGTATGTGGCTCTCAATGTTCCACGGCTGATCTGTTATGAAAGTTGACGTCACGTGTACATATACACCGCGACATCTAACTTGTATGATGACAGTTTTGATCACATGTTGTAGGTAAACCGCGCGGTATGCGTGTTCTTCGCGGCCATGTCTTTGGTGTGGCTTGCGCAACCATTGCACGCGTATAGTTAACGTAATCACGTGTCGGCAGTGTACCCTTAAAGGGGGTAAAGTTTCGACCGTGCGCATGGTCTACCATAAGTATAGTTTTGGTGGTTTACCGATTACGTTTTACATGTACGAGTTGTTCGGGGGGCTATGGTGTAACAGTGTTCGATGTTGCGTGTGCGTTTCTTTCTCAGCTGTGCACCCATTGTGTTGCGCTCACACAGCCCACGGCTGGTCAAGATTTTCTGTTTACTAGTATTGTCCGTGCCCTTGTTATTGTTATGACATTCAGGTGTCTGCAGTTCAGCAGTTGCAGCATGCGTGGCCCGTATTTTCCGAATTTGGGACCACTGCCTATACAGTGCGATCTGCATGTGTCCTTGTCAGCGTGGATCACATTACGGTGCTGCCGGTATGCTGTATGTTGGCAGCTTGGATCACATATGTATTTCATAAGTTGGGTGAGCCACGTGTTGAACCTAACCTATACGCTGCGTGCCGCACTTAAGATTTTCACATCTTGGCCGCGTGCCGTTTACTTGACATCTTCGCCGTTTGGCAGTGTGTCGGGTATGTGGTTGCATGTGTTCATTGTGTCCCATGGTTTAGGTTTAGCTGTGATATCTCTATGTTGTGAAGGCGTTTATTCGCTTGACGTAGCAGATGCTAGGTTCACACATGCCACTGTTGAGCCTAGTTTCGTTGGTTTACTTAGTTGTGCCTGCGACTTTTATGAGACTATGGTTTCCCACGCCCGCCAGCCCAACAATTGTAACATGCGCTACCAGTGCTTGCTGTTTGCTATGCCGATCGTTTGCGTAATGCTAGTAGTGGCCCAATGTGCTACATAGGTCATTGGCAGCAGTTTGGGCGTCTTTGGGCAGATTCCAACCATCCTATGCAACGCCCCGCGCCCCATTTCTTCCTTCCTTCCCGCTCCCTCATCCTTCCTCCAATTCCTTCCCCTGGCCCCGTCGCCATCGCCACCATTGCCCGCATCATCATAATATTCGTCTTCACCATCGTGACCACCATGCTCATCAGCACGTCCCGCTGACATTCCACCGCACAGGACTTTCCAGCAGGGCACGGGGCGACGGTGATTCGCCGAAGGCGTCCTCGATAGGCGACAGCACATCCACCTTCACTATCCCCTCCATGACCTCCCACCGCCTCCCATTCTCATTTTCGCCCGCGACTCAAGCGAAACGCTCTTCTACACACCACACGACCGCCACAAACAGCACGTGGGTCGAACAGCTATTGCTTCTAGGGCCCGAGCTGCTCCGCGCGTTCAGACATGGGGTGACCAACGATCCCCTCCCCCGACCTTCCCATGCTGCGAGACCGTGGAGCCTAAGCAGCTCACTCGTGCAACCAGTGTGACACCTCCCTTCCGCACAGCCCAGTGCGTGTGGAGCCTTAGTTATGGATGTGGAGCCCTGCGCCCTTTACATGTGTGCAGGACTCCATTTCACGTCGAACCATGTGTCCAAACTCCCTCCCAAACCCACGTCACCCACGTCTAGGCACACTTCCAACGCACACGTCCAAGCACAGATCCAACACACACACACACTTTGTGTTTACTGCCGGGCTGGTTGGTCCCAGTCATCGAGGGCAAGAGCGAGACGTGCTACATGTTCTTTGCCACCGGACATGTGTCGATGTGGGGTCAGGACAGGGGCTGACGCATGGCAGGACGCCGAGGCCATGCACGTGGAAGAAAACGCACGAAGACCACGCGCACATGCGAAGCAGGAGAAACCAGCAGGGCCTACCGCACGGTTGTCCTTCCCCGCCGCTTGGCCCAGCTCGGTGAGGCGAGCAGCGGCAGGCGCTCAGGGCAAGGACCACCGAGCTTGGTCTGTGGGCGGCAGCCGGCGCGCGGGTCGAGAGCGCACCTCTTCCGGTCGAAGCTGAGCGGGCCGCGCGAAGCTTGAATGAGGCGGAGAAGAGGAGGGAGAACGCGGCGGAGCCTCAGAGCGAGGCCGAGAGGAGGCACAGCCTCGGATACAGGGAGCACGTGCAGGACCCAGACCCCCGACGTCATGAATTTTTCATGACGTCGACCCCCAGAGGTCCGGACCCATTCCCCGGGACAGGTTTTTCGTCCTGAGTCGTTTTTTGACGCTCCCGAGGCCCGGTGAGGGCCCCCGGAGGCCGAAAATTAGGAAAAACATCCCGTCATGATTTTTTCATTACTCGAGGGGGTCTGGGAACAGGGGAGCGTGGCTCGACGACGGGCGGGCGCAGCGCGCGAGGCCCGCGACGGGGGCAGGGCGCAGCGGGCGAGAGGTGCGCGAACAGGGCGTCGGAGAGCCGAGACCGGTCCCCCGCGCACCAACGCGGTGTGCGAGCTCTGGTCCGACTGAGTCTGGGGGCTCCAGCGCCCGGGGCACGGAAGCCACGGCCTGACTCCGGATCCGGCCTACTTTGGCTTTTTTTCCAACTTAAAATTGTGTCGGAAATCCACTTATAAGAGGCCGAAAAAGTAGGGCGGAAATTGCTGCACCCAACATAAAATAGAGCGGAAATCCACAGAAACAGCAACAGAAAAGTAGGGCGGAAATTGGCATCAGCGGGGCTCGAAAAGTAAGGCGGAAATTCCAAGCCCCACTTACGAATTTCCCCAAAGTAGGGCGGATCCGGAGTCAGGGCGGCCTTGGCATCGCTCGGACGTGTGCATTTTTTCTCTGCGAGAACCATCGAGGACCATCCTGGACCATCGAGCAAAAAAAAAAAACACGCACGAAACCGACACATGCACGGGAAATGATGGACGCCCGAGCAACGGCGAGCGGCGTGAGGGGCACCTCAGTTGCCTCGACACGCCCGTTGTGAAACGCAACGCGTCCCGTGTTCAAGACGTCCGCGTCAAGACGTTGTGTGTTGGCTCCGCGTATTGGACCACGTTTTGGCGGACGTGCCGCGTCGGACCTACGTTTTCAGCCGACGTGTTGAGCTCCGTATCAATACGATACGTGTTGCGTGCTCAGCACGCAACATCGCAGAGCGGATTTCGCTCGGAGAACAACGGGATGGGCCCAGACTGTCCTGGAGGATCTCGTTCCAGATTTCGAAGCGAATTTCGTGCGGTTTTTTTTTGGACCAGGAATGAAGATTACAACAAATCCACGTGAAATTTACGTAGTTTTCCGCTCGCCGTTTTGGGGGCTTTGCATGGGCAGAAATCCACGCAAAAATCTGCTGCACACGTCTACAAGGTCGGTGCAGTGACACATAATCGGCGTTACCCCAACATACTAATACTCGGGTTGACCCAAAAGGGGGGGGGGTCCAGCGACAAGGGGGTGGTGCAGTAGATCTGGTGCAATAGATTTGTGCGGTTGCAATATCATTTGGGCATGCGGTATTTTCCGCGGCGCAAGCGTATTGCTGGGCTTTCGCGTGCAATACGCTACTTGCAGTACAATGCGATACAACTCTCCGGCGCAGTACATCTGCAAAACAATTGCCCCATATTTATTGCACCACCCTCTTTCAGCTGGACCCCCTTTTGGGCCAACCAGAAATATCGGGGGCGGACAGAACCCCCAACAGTGACACGTCGATTAGTGAATTGTCCGTTTTCGGTTCTCGAGGGGGCGCCGTGGCCGTTATTTCCCAGGCTTGCGCCCGCCAGGTTTGGGCCTCAGGTCGTTTTCACTAAACCACGTTTTACTAAAGGGAGGTCTGTCCATCCCCGAAACTACCATGTATGCGTGGCCCCATCCAGGGGCGGCGCGCGCACCGAGAAGTCTTCTGGTCGATGCGTCGTGGCGGGCGCGTTCGGGCCCCACCGCTCGCAACAAAAAACGATGTACTACAAGATGGGCATACAGTGAGCGGCTTGAGTAAGGAACACTTACGTTTCAAAAGGGGCTCGGTCGTTCTTCAGGCTTGAATGCGTTATTTATCGTTCCTGGTGGATTATGTATTATTGATCGTTCCTTATGCGTTCTTCCTTGGATGAAAAAGGGCATTCGTTCCTTATTTATCGTTCCGTAGGTAAGGCCGATGACTGTACTATGTGTTCGGGTCGGACACGCGCCTCCAAGGAGGACATATAGTACTGGTATAAGTCGGGCCTGTCCCTCTACAGGGAGAATATCCAAAAAGAGCCCAAAAATCGTCTGGGGAGTATGTTTTGAGTATTTGTCGACCTTTTTGGGGTATTTTTTTGGTGTTTCTTAAATTTCCGTCGAAAATCCCCCTGTAGGGGGACACGCCCAACATATACGAGTATGTCTCTGTGCGTCCCACATAATGGAGACAACGGCCCGGCCCCGCTTGCCAGGGCCAGCTCGCCCGAGCGCAGGTCAGACCTGCCACGCGCAGAGGGGGGCAGGGGGATGGGGGGAAGGCTTCTTAGAAGCAGCCCTGGTTCTTGGAAGGCGCGGGCCTTGTCTATAGATGCAAGGCTGGCGCCCTCTAAGAAGCAGCCTCCTTCTAAGAAGCTTTCCCCCCTCCCCCTACCCTCCTCCACGCGCCGCCAATTTGCGCCCCGCGAGCGTAAACCCGGTTTGGAGGAAAGCTCGATGTTCAATCGTCCTTGTTCCTCGCCCTCTCTCCTCCTTCTCCTAGTCATCCTCCTCCCTTTTTGAGTATCCTCGCCCTACTTCTCATCCTTTCCCTCCGTACTAGGCTTCCCTCCTCTTCCACGCCCGCCTGGCCGCCGCTTCTGCTGGGGGTGATGGACGTGCAGCCCTGCTGTTCCTTTCTGATCTTCCTCGACCTCTTCGTGAGCCCAGTGCCTTCATCACCCCTCCTGCTCCATCATCCCTCCTCCTCCTCCTCCTCCTCCTCCTCCTCCTCCTACTCCTACTCCTCCTCCTCCTCCTCTCCTCCTCCCTCCTCCTCCTCCTCCTCCTCCTCCTCCTCCTCCTCCTCCTCCTCCTCCTCCTCCCTCCTCCTCCTCCTCCTCCTCCTCTCCTCCTCCCCTCCTCCCTCCTCCCTCCTCCTCCTCCCTCCCCTCCTCCCTCCTCCCTCCTTCCTCCCTCGAGCGCGTCGGAGAGGGCCCCTGGGCATCTCCTTCAGGCAGTTCTGGTCCTGGCACCCAGGGGGGTCCCGGGGGGGCCCGTGGTCGGAGGGGGCGGCTGGTGCAGCTTGCGCCCGTCCCCCGCCCCCCTCCCCTGCCCCCTTCCCCCCCCCCTCCCCTTTCCGTCTCTCCCCGTCCCTCCCTCCCCTCGCCCCGCCAGTCCGTTCCCTCCGGCACGTTCTTCCTTCTTTACGACTCCCTTTCCTGAGTAGGCCTCTCCTTGACCTTTGAGCCACCTCTTCTGGACAACGCTATCATCCAGTCTGCCAGGTAGGCTATCAACCCCGACCCAGCCATCGGTATCGGGTGTTTCGGAAGGTTGCAGTTTTCTTACATGTTTGTTTCATGGAGTGCTCTCGATACCCCGCACTCCATGTAAGCACATCTCCGACCCAGCCCCACGAGGAATTTGCTTGCTTGTGGCTTCACGTGGCCTCCTGGTTCGTTTGTTTATCTGCAGTGTCGATGCCGATTGTGTGTTTGTTAGCTGTTGTTGCGATGTGTCGTCTAGGTCTCCCCTGCTTGGCTAGTAAAGGGAACGCACGGGTCCTCAACTTAGTCTTTCCATAGTTTCGATTGTTCGGCCGAGGGCTTCTCGACGCCATCCCAGTCTGAGGTAGCATCCCCTTCGCCATCTATCGATCGGCTCTGACAGCGTACCACTTCGTTGCCGAGCCCGCGAGTGAGGAGGAGAACGAGGAGGGGAGGGGCTGGCAGCCGCTCCGCGGGCAGACTCACGCCTTGGCGCAGACTGCAGAACTTTACGCCCCTGGAAAAGGCCAGGACTTGCCAACACGTAGCAATTTCTGCTCAGCTTCCCTTTTCGAGGTCGCTGGCGGGGTCCTGTTTCCTATGCTGGAGTGCTGTCCCTGCCTGTGGCCGCTCGAAAACGGTCTTGCTGTGCCATCTGAAGTGCTCTGTTGTGCTGTGGGCCTCCACAGGGGGATGAGCTTCAGAAGGGGAACAACACACAGACATAAATTAGTTGTCGATCCCCTCGCAAATATAGGAACATATGGGAAGTGGGGGGAAGACGAAAGTCCAAACAATGTTGAATCATATTGGGAATCCTTGGATTTGTGTGTATTTATTTGTGTGTCCCTGGGCCCCTTCACAGTGCTGGCCGCCACCCCGGCGGTCTCCCGGGGCCGCCTCAATTGCTCGGGCCGCGGCCTGGCCGCCTCAACGGCAGCACGGGCCCCGAGGGCTCCACAACAAAAGGAGCATGCAGGGGAGGACGTGGAAGAGGATCAGGACCTGGCGGGGCGGGGGAGCGAAGGTCGGCGACTACAAAGGGTATTATTACGCCAGGGTGTGGTTTGCGATCGGCACTGGTGGGGCCTGGGAGGCACGACGCTGTCCTTGTCGGGCCTCCTCGGGGTGCGGGAGAACTCTATCGAGGTCCCCGCGCGCCCCCCAGGGTGCCCCCCAGGATGTTCCCCAGGGTGCCGGTTGCAAACCACACCCTTTGCAAACCACACCCTTTGGAGTCGCCGAAAAGGGGAGGACGAGCACTCTCCCCGCGCCCCCCCCCCCCCACGAGGACGGGCCACCTGGCCCCCGCGCCGCTCGCCGCCAAGAGGCTCGGGGGGGGGGGCGCAGAGCCGCACCCGCGATGTCCCGCACCATCATGCCTGGCAGCCGCTGCGGCAGAGGTCCACGGTGTTCGGATGGGCTTACAGCCGGGGCCCTGCAGAAGGAACCCTTTTCGTTGGCGTGTCCTTATGTTTTCGACAGGAAACCGGAGGTTAACTTATGGAAAAAAGGGGCCTCGTTCCTTATTTAGGGTTCCTTAGGTCAACGCCCCGACACATCGTTTGTGTGCACCCGAGGCTCCCATTGCCTAATCAGCGCTTGCACTGAATGGGTCCCAGCGGAGATGGATTGAAAAAGTTTGAAAAAAGTAAGCGAAGGCACGGCGCCAATCTCGGCAGGCCGCGGGGTCACCAGGTTCCTGGGTTGCCCGGTTCCCCGGTTCCCGGTCCTGGGTTCGGGCCGACTTTTTTTGAGGGTCCAGTGTGCTCTAACTAGCGACCTTGCCTCGTTCAGGCATACAGAGCTGCATGCCTTAATTACCTATATGCTCCAATTAAAAACAGAAGGTCCCTGCGATTTCTATGTTGCTTTTTCGTGGACGATGTTGATTTCACGCTATTCCGTCCCACCCTTCCTCCCTCCCTCCTGTATTCCTCTTCCCCCTCCTGCCTTGCAGCGCCTCCTCGACAGGACACGTCGCCCCCCTCGCCGCTATGTTTTGTTTCAGCGGGCGCCAAGAGCGCAAAGGGTAGCACGGCTCCCGATTCTGAGCGCGGGCGGCGCGTGGTTTCACTCAGTGAAGCCGTCGCCGCTGGTTCGCCTGCCTGTCCCTCCCGCCGTCTTGGGCCGCGCACGCCTCCGCCGCGATCACCAGGCGCTCCTCGACCAGCTTCTCCGCCGTGGTCGCGTCGACGTTCTGCAGCTCCGCAGTGAGACTAAAACATCAATTCGGGACGCACTGGCAGCAACGATACCACCAAAAACCGTCATGCACGAAGCGCCAGGGCTCCATGTTGGAGCGCCGCAGCCGCAGCGCCGAGGGCGCCGCATGTCGAGCATCGAGCGTCCCAAACGGCCACCTTTTATAGTAAATTCCTGGATTCGGGTCGGGCAGCGTGCAAAAACAAAAAAAAACGGTGAAGCCAAAACCGGCTGCGGCAAATAAGACATGAAGAAGAGGGGTGAATAACATGATTGATTCTTGGACGGTGCGAGGAAGGGGCGGCGAGAAGGGAAGCCCCGAGGCAGATTGATGCGCCCCTCCTGCACAGGAGCGATAAGGGATTACGACCTCTGTGTTTGAGAAAGCCGATCGCGATCCCATCACAAGATCCGCACGAAAGGCTGCGAGACATAATCTAGACATCACTGTGACGCTGAATCCTTTGGGCGCGAGCACGCTACCGCGACGCTTGGCGAAGTGATTGCCCGTGCCTTCGCAGTCCTCGTCTCTGCAGGTCCAGCGCATCTCGGGCTGATGTCCCGGCGGGGCTATTAAGCCCATCCCGAGCAATTGATGAATACTCTGTTTAATGTGAAACATTCTGGGGCGCATGCTGCGCAGGGCGGCGCATTGCAGGTTGAATTTGATTGACTGGTCACGCAGAATATCCCCTTGTTCATACTACCACTTCGCAAGCAAAGGTAGCACTGAGACAAATGAACCATAGCAGCTCTCATCGCTGCCTCCTCAACGATACTCGGGTCGCGCAGCTCTTCGGCGAGAGTTTTCCCAAAGGGCACCGTGTGTCGGATAGCAGCAGCTTGTCCTGAAGGGCGCAGTGTCTTCTAGTGCCTGATGGTTTTCATGGTCAACAAGTGGATTCAATCCGCTTGTGGGTTCCGCTCGTACTAAGTACTCAGACGTTCCCACAGCGCATTGCACCGTTGAAAAACATCTGCCTCAACGAATCTGCAGCCGCGCCCAAATCATCTGCATGCACCCGATCGATTATCCAGGCCAGCTGGTCTACCCTTGGGATTGACATCGTTGTCGATTTTTTATGACACCATGTTCCATTCGGTGTTTGATCAGCTGCGTCTTCGCGCCGCCCGTTGCCGCGCCGCGGCGCCGCGCTGCCGATGCGCTCTGGCTGGAAGACCTGCGCGGGCGAAGGGCGAGGAGAGCGGGGGACGTGGGAGAAGGGGAGAGGACTGAGGGGCCTGCCGCGTCGTCACGCGGCACCTCCAGCAGCGCCCCGCCTTCTCGTTGAACTGCCGGAGGCCGAACACTTGTCCCCGGCATTCCCCATGTGCGCGCATCTGCACCATCGCAGACCTGTAGCCTAGATCTGCACCTGCCTTCTTGCCCCTGTGAAAGTCAGACTTCAACCGAGCTGTGCCGTCGTGGCGGGCTGCAGGGTATTTGCCTGCAGCCATGAGCAGGAAATTCCAAGCAACCATATGGGCAATGTCATGCCACGCGTTCGCGCTCATGGAAGCTTTTACCAGCCCAGTGATGGGAGCCTGTGCGCCTCCATCGTTTTGGCCAGTTTTAGCACGCGATCTCTACTGACTGGTCGGGGCCCTACTGGCATGGGACGCCGTCGGCCCACAGGCCTGCAGAGATCATCGAACCGATTTGCACTGCCGAGAGGCAGCGTTGCACGTGACTCTCCCCAACTTTATCCAGACCGCCGGTGCCCTCCAGTTTTTTTCCGACGCGCCGGATTGCGCCAGATGGGCAAAGTATTCGCGCGGCAAGCCGAATGCCACCCACTCTTTCTTCTCGCAGCTGCGCCCCCTGTTCCAGCAACGGACCTCTGCGAAGTGCGTCCTGGGCCACAAACGGCCTCGAAGAAATCGCTTCCGCAGCCTCCTGGATGCATTGCCGCCGACGCTTGCCCACTTGCTGACGTCTGTCTTGCTCGCTCGTCGGTGGCTGGTCAAGTCGCCCATCCCTCGGTGGCCTCCCGCGTGGGCGTCGTCCAGGAGCAACTGAGATTGGGCGTTGGCGAGCGCGCTGGTCGTCGCCAGCGCGCCCACGTTTGTCCGCAACCACCTGTCAGGAGGAAGAGACGCAGCGTCAGAATGGCGCTGCCGCCTGCTGAGCATCTGCCCTCGGGAAACCCGGAGGGGCTCGAGCCGCGAGTTCACTGCGGAAGACATCCCGGGCGAAGGATCGACATCGATCGCCCTCCTGTACAGGGGGGCAAACGATAATGTGATGGATTTGTTTCTCAAGAGCGCGGCGACGGCGAACTCGCCGTTCGGGCACGCGGCTGCCCCAGAGAAGCCAGCGAGAGCAACGAGGATATGTAGAAACACGCGTGGGCCACACCTGCTTGATATAGAATCGCTCTCCCGTTGCCCCCCCCCCACCCACCCTTCCCCCCCCCTGCCTCGTCCGATCCCCGCGTGCCAAAGCCTCGCGCGTGCTCGAGGAGCTCGGAATACTAGCGCCGGCAAGTCTTCGACCCTGTCGGGTGGCGTTCGAGCATTTCCTTCTCGTCGGCAAGCTGCCTCTGGAGAGGGGGCGCGTCCATGGTGCACGCCTGCTCTGTCATGGCGATATTGCATTCGAATTCGTCCACTACGTTACCTAGGACGTTGATGCTGCCATCGATCTCCTGCGAGTAATCCGGCCACAGCCTCTTGTCCTCCTTGGAGGCGTTGTTCTTCGCCGTCAGCTGGCTCTTCCGCTCGCGCAGCCACGTTTGGATCTTCTGCAGCTCAGCCAAATCAGTCCTGGAACCAAGGAAAACAAAGAGGTCCCCGACCACACCCCTCCCGCCGCCCCCCGCCGCCACGTGTGGCCCAGGGGGCGGCGGAACGGAGAGACGGGGCGATGGTCTTCTCCCCCTTCGGTCCTGAGATTCTTGCCCGCCTCCTTGACCTCGGGGATCGTGGGGTCTTCGCCCTTAATCTCCGCTTTCGGTTCGGACGATGAGGCTGGCGGTCCAGATGGCGCGCCCATTGCGTGGGATACGTTTGCGAGGTCTTCGTGGGTTGCGTCTGCGCAGTCTTCGCACATGCGCCGCCAGGGATCTTCTTGGACTGCCTCTGCGTCCAGGTCTTCTTGCGCCCTTCCTCCTCAACGAAGAAATACCGGGCCAACTCTTCATTCGCGCTATGAGATGCGGGTGGATGCGCCTCCTTGGCGTCGAACTCTGTCGCGTTCTCTCCGCGCAAATACGGCAGCACATGTGATCATAGCTTCCCCGCGCGTGTCGAAGTCAGAAAGTGCGTGGCCCGTCAGCTTGAGAAGCTGCGCGGGGATCATGCACCGCAGGCGCCCTGCGTACAGGCCCCCCCCCCAGCACCGCCACCCATAATCAGAGCCCCGAATCATCAGGGGTAACTCGGGTCAGGGCTAACTCAGGTTCGTTTTTCGGAGAGTTGCCCCGGGCCCGAGTTACCCCGGATAATTCGGGCGTCCAAAGCCCCAAATCATCAGGGGTAACTCGGGTCAGGGCTAACTCGGGTTCGTTTTTTCGGTAATCCGAACCCGAGTTACCCCGGGCCCGAGTTACCCCGGATAATTCGGGCGCCCAACGTAAAAGAGGAATCACCGTCACGTCTTTCTTTTTTTTCCCATTTATCGCACCGAAGTCTGGGCCCATCGAGGACGCGCCGCCATGTGCCAACACGAATGTGTATCCTCGCAGGCCTAGAGGTTGACACCAACACCAAGATCGGCGGTGTGCCTCCAGCAAAAAAAGAAGATCCCGATCTCGGCGATGGTGGTAATATTCTGGCTTCCAAGGTGACCGAAGTATTGCCACCCACACCGAAATCTAGGATCCCCTTTCCCCCTGTGGAGGCAACCCCTTGGTGTTGGTGTTGCTGCCCATTTCTAGGCCTCCAATATCCGCTTCCCTGCCCGACGTCTGTGGCCATCTGGGTTCGGGTGCTCGGCCATGTGTGAATCACCCGCCCCCAACCACCCTGGGGACATCGAGTTCTTGGGAGTGGCAGTTGCCGTTCGTGCAAAATGCCCGCGGCACCGCCACCCACAAGAGGGGAATCGCCGTCACCTCGCCCTTCGCCTTGTGAATTGCCGCTGTCGCACCGCCACTGGGACTCATCGAGGATGCAGCAGGCATGTCGCGAGGGGCGTTGCACTCGCCAGTTCGCGCCAAGAGCGGGGAACTTCTCAGGCGAAGCGCTGCTTCGGGCACCCCTGTCCACACTCCCTTCATAACCTCAGCAGCATGCCGTTGTAGCAGGCAGCATGTGGGCACTGCTGGTGGGAGCCGCCGGGGAACGCGCAGTCGCCTCAGGGTGACATGTTTCATTCAGACGCTCACAGACCGCAGCGCCAGGAACTGAAGTGCTGATGGGGGTCTCCACCGTGATAGTGATGGTGAATCGTGCCAAGTGGGTCGTGAAGGACGGCGGCGATGACGACGAGAAGGAATGTGATGATGACGGTGATGTTTTTGCGCTCGAGTGCAACGGTGGCGCGCACATCTATACCGGCCTCCCTCGGCGCCCGGCTGCCGAGGCCTCGCGAAGCCGAGGCCGCCAGAGGCCAGAGAGCCCGGCCCGAGGAGCAGCCCGAGGAGCAGCCCGAGGAGGACCCCCTCGCCGCGGCCTTCCTCCTCCCCGCCCGCCCCTGGCGGTTACGACGGCGCCTTCGCGCCCGCAGCCGGCCAGCAGCACCTCTTCGGCGGCGAAGCCCGAACCCTGCCCCCGCCGATCCGCGATCCAGGTGGCTCGAAGGGCAGAGGGGGGGGGGGCAGGGTTCGGAGTTCGTCGCACGCGCGGCGAAGTCCGGGCCCTGCCCCCGCCCCCCGTCGATTGAGGAGAATCCGTGGTCGGCGGGGTAGGGGCTCGGATCCTCCTCCTCCTCCTCCTCCTCCTCCTCCTCCTCCTCCTCCTCCTCCCCCTCCCCCTCCCCCCCCTCCTCCTCCTCCTCCTCCCCCTCCTCCTCCCCCTCCTCCTCCTCCTCCTCCTCCTCCTCCTCCTCCTCCTCCTCCTCCTCCCTCCTCCCTCCTCCTCCTCCCTCCTCCTCCTCCTCCTCCTCCTCCTCCTCCTCCTCCTCCTCCTCCTCTCCTCCTCCTCCTCCTCCTCCTCCTCCTCCTCCTCCTCCTCCTCCTCCTCCTCCCCCTCCTCCTCCTTCTCCTCCTCCTCCTCCTTTTTCCTCCTCCTCCTCCTTCTTCTTCTCCTCCTCCTCCTCCCCTCCTCCTCCTCCTCCTCCCTCCTCCTCCTCCTCCTCCCCTTCTCCTTCTCCTCCTCCTCGTCGCCACCTTCCCTTTGCCCCGCGCCCCCCGCGCCCGCCCGCTGCGCGGCTGCGCGCCTCTGCTCCCCGGGCGGGCCCCCGCGGCGCCCCCTCGGCGCGGCCGCGCCCCCGCGCGGCCGTGCGCTCCTCCCCGCCCCCTTCCGAAGGTCCAGGGCTGCACTCGAGCACGCTGGCGCTGCCACCCGCCCTCGAAGTCAAGCGCAAGTTTTGATGCTGATCGCCGCGCGGCCCGTGGAGGGTATGATGCCCGTGTTCGCAATCGCCAGCGTGGGCGCGAACGCTGACGTGTTGGGGCCTTGGGGCGCCACCACGTCGTGGGCAAAAGCTTGCGCTTGATTTCGAGGAGGGATGTGGGAGCCCACGGGGAGAAAGAAGCTTATCCACGACACGCTGCCCTCGGGAGCCCGCTGGCGTGCTGCTCTGGTCGCTGTTGTCCGGAGACCAGGTGCCTCCTCCGCAGTAGCGCGCTGATGGCTTCCCCCACGGCAGCGTGTCGCTGATATGACAATACATGGTTGTGTTCCCGCTGCCGCTGCTGGCCGCACCGACCCACTCGACATGGAAGTCTTCCGCGTCTGAGTGCCCTCCCCCTCCTCCTGTCCTCCGCGGCCGCCCCCTCCCCCTGTCCCCCCGTCTTGCACGCCGCCCAACTCGCGCATCGGTCGATATGTTTTGACCATGTTGGGGCCATTTTGGGGGTATTGATAATTTTTTCGCCCCAAATCCCCGACCTAATTCCCCAGACCCCCGACGTCATGAATTTTTCATGACGTCGACCCCCAGAGGTCCGGACCCATTCCCCATGACCGGTTTTTCATCCCGAGTAGTTTTTTGATGCTCCCGAGGCCCGGTGAGGGCCCCAAGAGGCCGAAAATCATGAAAAACCTCGCGTCGTGATTTTTTCATAACTCGAGGGGGTCTGGGTCTGGACGCGCTGCAAAGCCCGGGCGGGCCGCTGCGACCCGAGAGCCCGCCCCTCTCGCCGAAGGGGGCCGCGCCGCGAGGCGGCGGGGCCGCGGCGCCGCGCGAAGGGGGGCCCCCTCCCGCGCGCGAGGCCGGCCGCCCCGCGCGGAGCCCCGGCCGCCGGGGCCTGCCCCCGCGCGCCTCCCCCGGACTCCAGATCCGCCCAACGGTAGGTTCGTGTCGTGTCGACCAGCGGCGACCCCAGCGCGGGCGTTCAAGGTTGAACGCCGCCGGCGACCCAGAATCGGTCGATGTTGAACGATCGGACGTTGCGGAGACGGCCGATTGTTCAAGGTTGAACGATCCAGCGCGGTGTCAGGAACCAACGCCAGGGTCGATACGGCACGAACCTGCAGTACTTTGGTTTTTTTTCCCAACTTAGAGTTGCGTCGGAGATCCACCTATAAGAAGCCGAAAAAGTAGGGCGGACATTTCTGCACCCAACCTAAATGGGGCGAAAATCCACGGAAGTAGGGCGGAAACAGCAACAGAAAAGTAGGGCGGAAATTGGCATCAGCGGGGCTTGAAACGTAAGGCGGACATTCCAAGCCCTACTTACGAATGTCCCCAAAGTAGGGCGGATCCGGAGTCAGGGCCTCCTGGAGCCCTGGCACGCAGGGGCAACGCCAGGGGGGTTCGATAGCAAAACATTCAGAACGGGACAAACACATATACACACACAGACAACACACACAGACAACACACACACAGACACAATGCATCGTCGATCCCCTAGGAAAGTAGAGGGAAATGTGGGAAGTGGGGGGGGGGAGACAGAGACCCAGGAAACGTGGGAAAAGATCGGGACTCCTGTTAATGGGGGTCATTGCAAACGGGGGTCAGCCAGAGCGCCGGATCTAGCAGGATCCTGCAGGACCAGGGTGGCATTGACTTGGGCTTGGGTGCAGGATCCTTGCAGGATCCTGCGCGCTGACTTGGGCTTGTGTGCAGGAGCTTGCAGGATCGTGCAAGGCCTGACCGACCCGGGTCTGGATTGACCCGGGCCAGCAGATCCCCGACAGGGGGGCTCGATAGCAAGACATGGCGAGCAAACAACTCACACCCACACCCATTGGAGGGTCGGAAGGAGGAGGACTGGCCAGGGGTATGGGTGCCGGGGACTATTTTTTGAGTAGTTTCTTGACCTTCTTGGATTATTTTTGGGGTATTTTTGATTTTTCATCGAAAATCCCCCTGTAGGGGGACACGCCCGACATAAGGCTAGTGGTATGGGTGCGAGTGGTCGGGCCCTGGGGGGAGCTCCCGTTCGAGCGGGGAATCCCCGTCCGGCAACACGCGCCCATGGCCCCCTCCGTCCCCCCTATGAGTACAGTCAAAAACCCTAAGAAGGACGCGCGACTTTGCTCAGGGTACCCTTGCGTCCTTGCTCTTCCTTGCTCTTGCGTCCTTGAGGTTTTCGTCGTCCGCCGCCAAAGAATTCCCAACTTCGGCTTCTCAGGGTCTTGCGTCCTTGCCGCGCGTCCTTATTAGGGTTTTTGACTGTATGGGTGCGTGTTTTTCGATCGTCAAATCATGGGAGCCTGGTGTACCCTCTTCATTCCATCTTTAGCGTCGAGTAGCGTCGCTTAGCGTCTGGGAGTCGATGATCTGGCGCCGATGTGGCGTCGATTTGGCGTCGATCTAGCGTCGATTTAGCGTCGATGAGCGTCGATTTAGCGTCGATTTAGCGGCGATTTCGCGTCGAGTTTGCGTCGATTCGCGTCGATTCGCGAGAGCCGACAAGATGGTGTGGGAGGCTCCCATGAGTTGCCACCGAAGGGGGGGGGGGGGCTAGGCATCGGGTGGGATCGGGTCGGATGCATCGATCCCCAATCGTCCATGGATCGCTGAAAGGTGCCCGATGGCCCCACCCAGCCCAGGAACGTTGGGGTTCCCTATCGGGGGTCTGTCGCCGATCTTTCGGCGACGCATCGCCGATTCCAGGTCGATGTTCCCTCCACCCATATGCCAGTCGCCCCCCTATCGTTGCCCCTCAGGCACAGTGCCGTCGGCGCGCCGCTCATGCTGCCCCCCGCTCCCCCGCGCCACGCTTGCGGGCAATGTCTATGCTCATATCCGGTGAGTACTGGACGTTCTTAGAAGGGGCGCTGCAAGGCCGAGGCGCACTGGATATAGATGAGAATCAAGCCTCCAGGAGCCAGATGTTTGTCCATATCCAGTGCGCCTCGGGTTTCTGGGTAAGGGAGCCCGAACATCCAACAGCTGCAGTGGTTGCCCGCAACGCTGCATCTTCGGGGGGCCTCGTCTGTCCCGACAAGCCGGTGTCGTTTCCTGTGCCCGACGCGGGCTCGATGCGGATTCGGCGCGGATTCGACGCGGACTCGACGCGGAGTCGACGAGTCCGACATGGATTCGACACGGACTCGACGCAGATACAAGGGCGCCCCCGAGGGCGCGAAGTTGTTGGCGCTTCGCGGTTCGGCCCTGACTCTTCCTCGTTCTCCTCTTCTCCCCTGGGGGGCGGCGCGAGAGCGCGAAGTTATTCGCGTTTCGCGCAGCGCGAAGCGCGACGTTCGGCGCCCCTGGGATACAGAGGCAATCTGATGATGGTGATGCTGCGGATGATGATTGATGATGATGATGATGATGATGATGATGATGATGATGATGATGATGATGATGATGATGATGATGATGACGATGATGATGATGACGATGATGACGATTATGCTGATGCTGATGCCAATGCTGATGTTGATGCTGCTGATGATGATGATGATGATGATGATGATAATGATGATGATGATGATGATGATGATGATGATGATGATGACGATGCTGATGCTGATGGTGGTGATGATGATGACGATAATGATGTTCTTGTTGATGATGATGGTGATGATGATGATGCTGATGACGATGATGCTGATGATGATGCACATTATGCTGATGATGATGAAGATGATGACGACGATGGTGATGATGACCATGATGACGACGACGACGACGATGATGATGATGACGATGATGATGATGACGATGATGATGATGACGATGATGACGATGATGCTGATGCTGATGCCGATGCTGATGTTGATGCGGATGATGATGATGATGATGATGATGATGAGGATGATGATGATGATGATGATGATGATGATGATGATGATGCTGATGACGATGCTGATGCTGATGCTGGTGCTGATGGTGATGATGATGACGATAATGGTGTTGTTGTTGATGATGATGGTGATCATGATGATGATGTTGATGACGATGATGCTGATAATGATGCACAGTATGCTGATGATGATGAAGATGATGACGACGATGGTGATGATGACCACGATGACGACGACGACGACGATGATGATGATGATGATGCTGATGATGATGATGATGATGATGATGATGATGATGATGACGATGATGATGATGACGATGATGCTGCTGCTGCTGCTGATGATGAGGAGGAGGAGGAGGAGGAGGAGGAGGAGGAGGAGGAGGAGGGTGGGATAGGGGCGCGACGGGACAGGCAAGGACCCCCGAAAGATGCAGACGCAGCGCAGGCCCCGGGAGGCGCTCCTCGGAGGCCTGCGCCGTCGAGGGAGAGAGAGAGAGCCCAGGAGGCCCGAACACAGGGCTTTTGGCGGGACTTGGGCGTCGCCACCCCCTCGGGGCTGTGGACGACGACCAGTGGAGAGGCAGCAGCATGTGGCCAAGCAATCGCCAGATGTCTAGGCAATGCTTCAACATGTCTTCAGCCTATACATGTACACCATGAGCTGAGCATTGTTGTAGCATTATGTCGGGCCTGTCCCCCTACAGGGGGATTTTCGACGAAAAATTGAAAATACCCCAAAGATACCCCAAAAAGGTCAAAACATATTCAAAAAAGAGTCCCCACACTATTTTGGGACTATTTTTTTTATTATTCTTGGGGTATGTTTTATTGTTCGTCGCAAATTCCCCTGTAGGGGGGCAGGCCCGACATAATTGTAGCATCCTTCAAACATTTGAAAGACTTGCTGAGTTCAACGATCGGACTGTTGGGGTGTCCACTGTCGTGGCATCCACCGCTCTCGGGCCTCCGACGGGCCAGGGTGGCCCAACAAGGGAACCCCCCCCCGAGGTGGCCCCAGAAGCCACCAGCATGCCCCCAGACCGCCCTCCTCCTTCCTCCTCCCTCCTCCCCCTCCCCCTCTTTCTCCTCCTCCCTCCTTCCTCCCCCTCCTCCTCCCTCCTCCTCCCCCTCCTCCTCCTCCTCCTTCCTCCCCCTCCTCCTCCTCCTCCTCCTCCTCCTCCTCCTCCTCCTCCTCCTCCTCCTCCTCCTCCTCCTAGGCCCCGCGAGGCCCCCGAGAGGGTGAGGGGGGGGTCACGCACCGGCAGCGCGAGAGACCCCCCCCGGGCCCCCCCCCCCGAGATGGCCCCCGAGACCGCCGGGCAGGCCCCCGAGAGCCCCCGAGTTTCCTCCCTCCTCCTCCTCCTCCCTCCTCCCTCCTCCTCCTCCCTCCTCCTCCTCCTCCTCCTCCTCCTCCTCCTCCCTCCCTCCCTCCCTCCCTCCTCCTCCCTCCCTCCCCCCTCCCTCCCTCCCTTCCTCCTCCCTCCCCCTCCCTCCCTCCCTCCCTCCCTCCTCCCTCCTCCCTCCTCCCTCCTCCTCCTCCCTCCTCCCTCCTCCCTCCTCCATCCTCCATCCTCCTCCCCTTCCTCCTCCTCCCTCCTCCCTCTCCTCCTCCTCCTCCTCCCTCCTCCTCCTCCTCCTCCTCCTCTCCTCTCCTCCTCCTCCTCCTCCTCCCCTCCTCCTCTCCCTCCTCCCTCCTCCCTCCTCCCTCCTCCTCCCTCCTCCTCTCCTCCTCCCTCCTCCCTCCTCCCTCCTCCCTCCTCCTCCTCCTCCCCCCTCCCTCCTCCTCCTCCTCCTCCTCCTGCCTCTTCCCTCCTCCCCTCCTCCTCCTCCTCTCCCTCCTCCTCCTCCTCCTCCTCCTCCTCCTCCTCCTCCTCCCTCCTCCTCCTCCTCCTCCTCCTCCTCCTCCCCCTCCTCCTCCTCCTCCTCCTCCTCCTCCTCCTCCTCCTCTCCTCCTCCTCCTCCTCCTCCTCCTCCTCCTCCTCCTCCTCCTCCTCCTCCTCCTCCTCCTCCTCCTTCCTCCTAGGCCCCGCGAGGCCCCCGAGAGGCTGCCCCCCCCCCCGGAAGGGCGGCCAAAAAAAAACGCCGCGGCCCCGACGCCGCAGAGACGCCGCGGCCCCGACGCCGCAGAGACGCGCGCGCGCGCTGCGCTGCGCTGCGCCGCGCGCGCGCGGCCCTGCTCGCAGGACTTCGGCGCGCTGCCCGAGGAGTGCCGGCAGAGCGTCCTGCGCAAGTGGGGGCGGCTCTCGGGGGAGGCCCCGGGCCGCGAGGCCCGCAGGCTCCAGGTTCGGGGAGGGAAAGGAGGACGCATGTACGCGTACAGTCGGGGCCCTGAAGAAGGAACCCTTTTCGTTGGGTAGGGGCTCCGTGTTCCTTAATTGTTTCGCAGCTTGCCTCAGGTGTTCCTTATGTTTTCGACGGGAAATCGAAGTTTAACCCATGGAAAAAAAGGGGCCTCGTTCCTTATTTAGGGTTCCTTAGGTCAACGCCCCGACTGTACTCGGAATCCTGAACTACACCAGAGAGCAACCCCAAGTCAGGGGATGGTTTGAGATGGGATCGATCAAGAGATCGATCAGGAGATTAGGGGAACGAAGAATGACATGAACATACAAATTCGGAGGTCCGCGCGGATTTCTCGGATCGGCGCTCGGGCCCCCTGGCGGCGCTTCCGGTTCCGCCCCTGGCGCGCTCCGCGCGCCAGGGAGGGGGGTCGAGCGCCGTTCCGAGAAAGCCGCGCGGACATCAGAGTTTTTATGTTTATGACACTTTTTGTTCCCCTAGAGATCGACCGGGAACGCAGGAACCCAGAACCCACCGAAATCGGCCCTGAAGCAATTACCAGGAGCCCAAGAGCCCGGAACCGGGAGCCCGGGAACCCAGCCGGCTACCAAAATCGGCTGGAGATGTTCGCCCAATCTTTCAATTTCTGCTAGGACCCCTTCAGTGCAAGCGCTGATTGGGGAATAATCGACCCCCCTAAAAAAACGGACCCCCTCTTCAATGGCAACCTAATTTTCCGACCCCCCTGTCAACGGGGGGGGCCTCAGCATTCCGGAGAAATGTCGTCTTCCCCCCGCTTCCAAAAAGGACCCCTTAACAAACCAGACCCGGGGGACGATTATTAGGGGATTCCGAGTACATGAATCCATGTTGGCTTCGACGGTACACTTTGCGCGAACGCTCAGATCACCCGGCCGGTCTCGCGGACCGGGGGGCCGTGCTCACACGTTGGGCGCGTGCGTCTTTTGTCTTGGCATCGCTCGGACGTGTGCATTTTTCCTTCGGCGAGGCCATCGAGGAGCATCCTTGATCATTTGGCGAAAAAGCCACGCACGAAGACGAACAAAAACACAGGGAATGGACGTCCGAGCGATGACCAGCTGTGGGTTCCCTACAGGTGCTCGTGGCGGCCATCGTGCACCCCAAGGCCGTGGCCTTCTGCCCTCGCGCCGCCCTTCCGCCATCGTCCCGCCTCCGCCTCCGCACCGAAAGCTCCTCCCTCATTTCGTCCGCGTCCTCCTCCTCCTCCTCCTCGTCCTCCTCCTCCTCCTTCTCCTCATCTTCCTCCTCCTCCTCCTCCTCTGCGCCCTCCTCCCGATCTCTTGCCAGTCCTCCTGGCGTCGCTCGGACGTGTGCATGTTTCCTCGGCGAGGACCATCGAGGAGCATATTGGCCAATCATCGCGCGCAAAAGAGGCGCACGGCCGGATCCTCTCCTCTCTCGAAACCAAGCGACAACATGCACGGGGAACGGAGCGATAACCGATCCTCTCCCCCCCCCTCCATCTGCTTGAAGGCGCAGCGGCGGCGTCTTGGCAGGCATCCTTCTCGAGGCCCTCTCATGTCTGTACGGGCCAAGATGCAGTGTGCCTTCAACTCTTCTCGGGCCGGGCGAAAGGGGGGGATTGGGAAAGGGGGGGTTACGAAATTTGCTGCATGCAGCTGATTTCGGCCTCACCGAGGGGCCCATTCCTCGATACATGGGAGCCTCCCGGCGCCGGGAGGCGCCGGGAAAATCAGCTACGTGAGTTGATTCTCAAACCCCCCCTTTGCTATCCCCCCCTTTCGCCCGACCCGATCTTCGGAGGTGAATGCACTGAGGCGCCCATGTCTCGTCCACCCGTGATCGGTCTACCCTTGGCCTTCTGTCGCCACCCGGGGGCCCAGGGGCAGCGAGCAAACCGGCAGAGTACGAGACGAGCAGCACCGGACACGAGCGAGGTGCGCGCACGGAAGCCGTGCGCCAGCTGATGCTGCCGCGTCGGGGCCTCGTGACGCGCAGGCATGGCCCGTCGGACGTGCCGGACGCACTCCCCGACCTCAGTGGCCACGTCCGCAGCTTCGTCGCCCGAGGTGGGGCGGGAGGAGGAGGAGGAGGAGGAGGAGGAGGAGGAGGAGGAGGAGGAGGGGAGCCCTCGGAGGAGGAGAGGAGGAGGAGGAGGAGGAGGAGGAGAGGGAGGAGAGGAGGAGGAGGGAGGAGGGAGGAGGGAGGAGGGAGGAGGGAGGAGGGAGGAGGGAGGAGGGAGGAGGGAGGGAGGAAGAGGAGGAGGAGGAGGATCAGGAGGAGGAGGAGGAGGAGGAGGAGGAGGACCAGGGGAGCCCTCGAGGGCGCGAGGTCATTCGCGCTTCGCGGCTCGGCTCCGAGTCCTGTTCCTCCTCCTTCTCCACTTGGAGGGCGGCGCGAGAGTGGGAAGCGATGCGCGCACTGCGCAAGCGCGAAGCGCGAGGTGAGGCGCCCCTGAGGACGAGGAGCGAAAGCATGAGGATGAGGCATAGGAGGAAGGCCGCGGGGTGGTCGCCGCCGCCAGTTTCCGCAGCCACTTCACGGCCCAGGAGGCCATGCCTTTCTGGGGGGCGCGGCTGCTGTGCGCTCACGCCAGTGGGGCGGCGCCAGAATGGATGACGAGGAGCTCGGCGTCGGAGTGGTGCACCGCCGCTCACTGACCGCGAGGGGCCATCGGGATGGAGGACCGCTGGGCCTCGGCCTTGGGGAAGGATGGGGTCGCAGCAAAGATCATGAATAGGCCGAAGAGGACTTTCTGAATTTTGACGTTGACGTTCGTGCCAGGAGTGCCGAGGGCGTCAGACCGCCAGGGGGCCAATTATGGTGGCCACCTCAGGGTAAATACACCTTTGCTCAGCACGTACGCACCTCGCGTAGATTTCACGTTAGAACAGAAGAAGGTGCTCGAGGGGGATACGGCGCACAGATGCACACATCATACATTACCGCATGCCATCATTCATCATACATTGGGTGGCGCGGGCTAATGTGTCGGTGGTCGCCGAGTCATGTTGCCACCTACACCGCCAGCAATGACCACTGGCCTGAGCATAACGACTCTGCCATCGTGAATGCTGGCACGAGTCGGTGGATGCGTGATTACAACTGCCAAAATCAAGCGCACAGGTGTAGGCGCGCACTGCTGACTCGAGAGGTCGACAACTCTTCTTCGTCGGAAGGAAGCGGAAAGTCGGCGGACGCAACGGCGCGGAAGCCAGTTGAATCAACCCCCTTCCCAATGGTTTTCGTATGTGATACCTTCAGTGTTTACGTAGCCGGTATAGTATTGATGATCCCAGGTAACTTCCCGCTCCACCGTTTTCTCATCTTGATTTGCCTCCCACTCTCTACTCCTCATCCTCGTTTTTTCCATCTTCCCTCATCGATCCTTCCTATTACAGCTTCCACCCGCCGCCCTCTATCATCCTGCATCGTCCACACTCGTCATCCTTCTTAACATCCTCATCCTCCTCCGGTGCTGCTGGTCTTCCTGCTCCCACTATTATGCCCCCGTTCTCCTCCTCTTCCTCCTTCTCCTCCTCCTGTCTCCTCTCTCCTCTCTCCTCTCTCCTTCTTCTCCCTCCCTCACCCGCTCCCTTACCATCCTCATCCTCGCTTCTACGCTCTCCACCCCTCCTTCGTCCTCCCTCCTTCACCGATTCGCCATCCCCACTCATCATCATCATCATCATCATCATCATCATCATCATCATCATCATCATCATCATCATCATCATCATCATCATCATCATCATCATCATCATCATCATCATCAGCAGCAGCAGCAGCAGCATCAGCATCAGCATCAGCATCAGCAGCAGCATCATCATCAACAATAGCATCAGCATCATCATCAGCATCATCACCATCAGCATCATCATCGTCATCAGCATCGTCATCATCAGCAGCAGCAGTATCATCATCTTCATCGCTGTTCCCTTCGCGGTCCTCGTCCTCCCCGTACCACCCTGCGTCTTCTCTTCCTGAGCCTACTCTGCCTCCGCAGCCTCCTCATCCATCTTCCCTCCTAGCTACTCATACGTATCGCACCTTTCGTCCTCCTCCTTCTGCTCCTCCTTCCCCTGTCCTCCTCCTCACCCTGCCTTCATTTCTGGCAAGCAGCTGCAGGCTAGCCATGAGCTGTGGTTTGATGGCAGCTTTGTTTTCTGGGGTCTGCTGCGGGTCCTGGGCCAACCAGCGTCCTGTCCGGAGCGCGCCAGGGGCGACGCCAGAGGCGCAGCCAGGGGGCTCCGGCGCCGATCCAAGGAATCCGAAAGAACTTCCAGGGATTGTTGTTTATGACGCTCTTGTGTTCTTCGACTTGAAGCCATCGCCTGGAGTTGACAGCCGTGCCCAGGCTTTCCAGCCTCTCGGCGTCTCCTCCTCAGAGGTGCGGTTGAGACCACTGAGGGGTGGCCTGCGCTGTGGGCAGGGACTCGCACTCATCGAGCAGTTCGGGCCGCATCTTCGTCGCGATACCATTATGTCGGGCGTGTCCCCCTACAGGGGGATTTTCGACAAAAAATTTAACCTTCCCTTAAAAATAATCCAGAAATGCACTGGGGACTATTTTTTGATTTTTTTTTGAACTTTTGGTTTATTTTTTTGTGTATTTGTTATGTTTCGTCGAAAAAAACCTGTAGGGGGACACGCCCGACATAACGATACCACCGCACACGCTGCTACGGCACCAACTTCAGGCTGCGCTCCATCCACCACGCCGCAGGCTCAGCGGATCAAGGACTGCCTGACCCCGCGGTCTTCGAACTGCAGGCTGGCTTCAGAGGCACCACCTCCGAACACGAGATGCCCATCCAGGGGAACGAAGAATGACATGAATATACGAACTCGGAAGTCCGCGCGGATTTCTCGGATCGGCGCTGGACCTCCCTCCCTGGCACGCGATGGGAGGTGTCGGAGCTATTTTGAGAACTTGTGGGAACATCACGCGAGGAAGATTGGCAGTCAGCAAGCACCTTGAGATGTTGGAGTCGCTGTTGAACGCGAAATTGGCGTAATTCGCCAGAGAATCTGGCAAAGGGAGCCCGAAGCTGGCGTAAGTTGCAAAGGGTTCTGGCCCCGGGAGCGCGGATCTGGCGTAAGTTACGAAGGATTCTGGTTTCGGGGGCGCGAATTTGGCGTAATCTGCTAAGGGCTTTACTTTCGGGTGTGCTAATCTGGAGTCAGTTCTAAGGATGTCTGATTCTGTGAGCGCGAATCTGGCGAAAGTCACACAGGATTGTGGTCTCGGTAGCCTGACTTCCTGGCATAATTCACAAAAGGATGTTGGCGTCGGGAGTGCTGTGTACGCCGAATGAATGTACGAGCGATTCGGCTTCAGGGGGCGCGGACCTGCTCATTTTGCAACACCACAACAGCTGTTGCTCAATCTCGCGAACTCCGTGTACGCTGCAAAGGCATCTGTGTTCGTGAGCGCGAAGCTGCCGCACTGTACTGAATATATAGTCTGGCCTCGGGGGCGCGGGCCTGGCGCGGTTGACGACATGTCCCACCGCCCACCAAACCACCCCAGCCCAACCCGAAGGCCCCAATGTGCCCGCCATTTCCAGTTGGGGGGGGTCGGGGAACGTTGAGAAAACACACATGACGCCCGCACCCCCCCCCAACCCGAAATTCGGGTCTTCGGGTTGGGTCGGGGTGGTTTGGTAGGTAGTCAATGTCCCGCTGGCCTCGGGAGCGCGACGCCGGCGCCATATGTGCTCGGGACTCTGGCCTCGGGGGCGCCCACCTGGGGTGAGTCACGGAGGGTTTGTGGCCCGGGGGGGGCCCCGCATCTGACGTACCCTGACCTCCTCCTCCTCCTCCTCCTGCTCCTCCTCCCATCTCCTGCTCCTCCTCCTCCTGCTCCTCCTCCTCCTCCTCTCCTGCTCCTCCTCCTGCTCCTCCTCCTGCCCCAGGCCCACCAGGAGTTCAGGCGACGGGGCTCGGGCGTGCTGACTTGGTGTCGTTCGGCTCCCCCCCCCTCCTTCGGACAGGAACAGGTTAGACGCATTCGAGACTGAGAACTGCGAGTGGCGCAGGAAGCATCGACCGCGGTCTACTGGTATAACTATGAATTGGCTTGGCTACGGGCGAACAGTGTATTGATCTCACCGTCAATCAGTATGTACTTAATGGCCTTCGGCCCATCCCCCCATCGTGCCAGGGCTGTGGGTCAGAGTTCTCTGGGATGTTTCTTGGGGTCTCTTCGGGGCGCCTTCGGGGGGCCCTTGGAGGCAGTTTTGGGGTCGGGCCTTCTGGGGGCCTCGTGGGGCCTATTGGAGGTCTCTTGCGGCCTCTTGGGGGCCTCCTGGGGGCCCCTTGGGGCCGAGGGCTCGAAATGTCCGTTCGGGTGCCCCATCTGGGCCCCCTCTTGGAGTCGTCTTTGGGGCCTCTTGGGCCGTGTTGGGCGCCTCCGGAGCCGTCTTGGGGCCCTCTTGGGCCATATGACGGCTCACATGTCTAACAGCACCCTCCTCATCTACATGCGGGTGATTGTTGATGATGTTGATAGTTCTGTGTGTACATATCGATGCAGTGCAGGCATCACGGGACGAACACAGAACAGCGTCGCCACCCGCAGGGTAAACGCCAAACAAAGACAGGAGAATTGCGGGACAACACCAGATCACTGGACAACCATGGGGCCATGGGGTAACCACGGTACAACTATGGATGCAACCATCGAGACAACCATCGCGACAACCATGGCACGCTACAAACAATCATCGAAACAACCATCGGGACCACCGGGACAGCCTTCGGGACAACAATCGGGACAACAGCGGGACAACCGCGGGAGCACCCAGCCGCCGGAGGGGCGCAACACATTGATGGATCCTTGCTCTAACAAGACGGAGGTCACTCTCGCCCTCGCCCAGCTTCGACTCGCCCGCACATCTTGCTTGGCAGGAACCGAAACCGAACCCCAATATCCCGATTCTGCGACTCCGTTTCGCTTCGATCTCACCCCTCAATCTCAGGTGTTTGGCCCCGCTCGTTTCGCAATGCCACGCTTCGGTGTCATGTCCTGCCTGCCGTCTCTTTTCAGTCCGTGTCCTATCCTCGTCTCCCCCCCGTTTCTCCCCCCCTTTTATCGCAGGCCTAGAGGTTGACACCAACACCAATTTCGGCGGTGTGCCTCCACGGAGGGAAGAAGACCCCGCTCTCGGCGATGGTGGTAAGATTCTGGCTTCCAAGGTGGCCGAGAGATTACCGCCGACGCCGAAATCTGGTATCAGCTCCCCCCCCTGTGGAGGCAGCCCCCTGTGTTGGTGTTGGTGCCCACTTCCCAGGCCTCCAATCTTACCCCTCCTTGGCTTCCCCCTTCCGTTCCCCCCATGGCGTCGCCGGGCTCTCCCGAAGTGCGGGACTGGAAAATGACCACAGCCACTGCTTCTTGTTTGCGCCACCTTCCAGCTGGCCGAAAGAGAAGCAGTGGCTGTGGTCATCTCCCTGGTGCCAAGCTTCACGAACATGACCACAGCCACTGCTTTGTTTCTGCCGGCTGGAAGGCGGCAACAAAAGAAAAGCAGTGGCTGTGGTCGTTGTCACGCCCCGTACGAAAGCGGGCCCGGGGCGCCCGAGGACCCATGAGCGCGGCCGCGTCCTTGGCCTCCGCCGTGGGCCACGTCAGCTCGCTGACGCCCCCGTTCCGCGGGCGCAGGCCCCGCGCGCGAGCGAGGGGAGGGAGGGGGAGGAGCACGGGGGAGGGGGAGGAGGAGGAGGAGGAGGAGGGGGAGGAGGAGGAGGAGGAGGAGGAGGAGGAGGAGGTGGAGGAGGAGGAGGAGGAGGAGGAGGAGGGTAGTCGAAGAGTGCCGCTCCGAGGGGGAGCTGGCGGTGTGCGCGCTGAGCATGCGAGGGCGCTCGTCCCGCCGTCCCGCCGATCAGCTCGTCTTGGGAAACCGGGACATATACGTTACCAGTGGCGTGCGGTTTTTCAGTCCCTGGACTTTGTGAGGGTCGGGGACGACGTCGGGGTGGTGTGGTGTATACTTTTTTCCTTGGTCTTCCGCGGAAGCAGCGAAACTTTTTGGTCTGCGAGTCGGGAGCGAACCTCTTCCGGTCAAGAGCTAGGCGGGCCGCGCAAAGCACTAATTGGGGAGACAGAGAAAGGCGGGCGGGGCCTCAGGCGGCCGGAGGGCGGGCCGGGGTGCAGGCGGTGCTGAGGAGCTTGCACAGGAAAAGGAACGCCTTGGACAGGAGCCGGAGGCGAAGTCCCGCAGGGGGAAACAGCGAAACATGTATACACCAGTATCCCGTATACGCCAGGATCCGCTTTCCTGTGCAAATTTCAGTGCGGGGCCGGAAAAAGCATCGGTGTATATAGAGTTCGGCTCCCCAAGTGAGGAAAAGCCCGGGGGGAGGAAGCGAGGAGTGCCACTCCGGGGGAGCTGGCGGTGTGTGCGCTGAGCATGCGAGGGCGCTGGTCCCGCCGTCCCGCCGAGCAGCTCGTCAACCTCGATTGTGCACGGCTCGCTGCGGCCGCGTCCCCGCCGCGCTCGTGTCCGATTCGAGCAGGCTTGAGCTTCATCAGTCAGGTGCCCCGAGACCAGGACACAGAGTAGCCTTCTGGAGGACGGTCAATGGAGAGGAAGCCTGTTGCCACATAAGTTCCAGATGTCTGAAACATGTGCTACACATGTTTAAACATGTGAAACACATGTTCAGACCATGTTTTGAACATGTTACCGACATTTTAAAGACAATTTAAATCCAAGGATAGGACTGTTAGGGTGTCCATTGTCGTGGCATCCGCAAGACTGGAGCAGGCTTGAGCCTCATCAGTCAGGTCCCCCGAGACCAGGACACAGAGTAACCAGGACGTTGGCAGGTCAGGGAAACGACACCTTTTCTGCGAAGTTTGATTCGTCCGTCCAGTGCATCTTTATTTAGCTGCACTGCAGGACTCGGGTCCTTGTCTGGGTCCAGGGGTCGGGTGCAGGCTTTTCGGGCGCTTTACGGGGGTATTCCGGGAATGATGCAGTGCAGTTGTTGTCCAGTGGCGCTATCTGGAAACTGTTGGTTTCGAGGGATGTTGGATATCCTGCTCTAGCGTATCCGGATTGAGGGGGGCTTGGATCAGGCCGTATATCCCGCGCCCAGGAGTATTTGCGCGTTGGGGTCGGGGCAACGATACACGTCGGTCGATGGAAGTAGGTATTTCTGGAATCCCAGATCCCAATCTACGCTAGGCGCCTTCCTACTTCAAGGATCGAGTGGTTGTCCTTCTTCCTTCCTCTTCAGGGGGCAGGCGGAAGCCCAATCTACTTCCAATGCCTTTCTACTTCATGTTTCTACCCGCTCCCTCCGACCGACGGGTATTGTTCCACACCTGACAGTTTATGGCGTCTCGATTTTAACCAGAAAGCTCCCGCCTGCCCACCCTGCATACCGCGGTCGCTAAACCCCACTGGATCCCAGGAGTCCTTGAGTATCCCGCCTCGCGTCCTCGACGAATGGAGACACCATACCGCGGCCGCCAGACCCCACAGGATCCCAGGAATTCTTGAGTTTCCCGCCTCGCGTCCTCGACAAATGACGACACCCTGCGTACCAGATAGCCCCGAGGGGAAGGCGTCACGCCGTCTAGGCCTCACGACGCACGAGCAAATAGGCATGAAGAAGCGGCCTCATGAGCACACAACCAAACACGGGCACACCTAGAATAGCAAACATACGGTGACATAACATAGCCCAGCAGCGTAACACATGGCATATCACTGCTGGATGCCAAGGCCATAACATGGCACATCAGTTTATAGCAGAGCATCGCATATCATAACAGTGCATAACACACCGTTCCACGACAGTAGCTATAGCAACATTATACCTCAACTCATACTATGACGTAGCGGACTGTAACGCACACTATGACAACAACCATATACCATAATGGACAGGTGAAACACAACCGAACCTACCATATCTGTATTATACGGCTTCCCAGCTCCACAACAACGACGTTACAACAACATAAGGAATATCACACGTGGCACACGTGCCATGGTTCTTGCACAGAACGGGGAGGGAGGACGAGGTGGAGAAGGCGGAGGGGGAGGGAAGAGGGTGGACGAGAGAAAAAGGAGAAGGATGAGGAAGCGGGGTCGGATACTGAGGAGCTAGAAGTAAGTGTGTGTGTGTGTGTCTGTCTGCCTGCCTGCCTGCCTGCCTGCCCGCCTGCCTGTCTGTCTGTCTGTCTGTCTGTCTGCCTGTCTGTCTGTCTGTCTGTCTGTCTGTCTGTCTGTCTGTCTGTGTGTGTGTGTCTGCGGGTGTGTGTGTGTGTGTGGGTGTGTGTGTGGGTGGGGGGGGGGGGGGGCAAATGGCGACGGAGGAAAAGGAGGACACGGGAGACGGAGGACGATGATAGAGATTGCGGGAGGGAGAACGAGGAGGGAGGAGGACGAGGAGGAAAGGCGAGCGCCACGAGCAGGGAACGGAGTAAGTAGACGAGGAGGGGAATTCTTCACGCTTCACGTATCCCCACCAGCCGTTTCGGTTGTCCACCCGCGGCGTTCACTGGGCTGGTTGGGCTGGCAGCTGGTGGTATTCCCTGGTCGGCTTACGTGGCAGGAGCTCACGTGCCCTTACTGGCCGAGGCTCCGCTGACGACTCGCCCGGGCGAGTTGGGACACCTGGATGCTGGGACTTGTTCGCTCCCAGGTCCGCGCACGTGTACACGGTGGGCTTCGCTAGTCGGTTTATTGTATATTGTTTGACGTCGGCCTCGCAGTCCTCACACTGGCTTACGCGTTGGCGGTGAAAGGCGCGCCTCTCCGAGGATGTTGCGTTCATTGGTGTGTTCGGGCTCGTGTTCTTCGGCTTCTGAGCTGAGCCGTGTTAGTCGCCTGCCCCGCTGCCCGTTCGCCGCTCGCGCTCGGTTTCGGCCCCGCCCTTTTCCGCGCTAGCCTGCTGTGGTTTAGGCACCCGCCCTGCTCCACGTAGGCCTGGCGTTCTTTCGACCCTTTGACGCCGCGCGGCTGTCCGCTTGCGGTTGCGAACAAAAAATCCGACCAGCCCATTCAGAAACCTTGCCCGTGAGAGCTGACGGGGAAAGGGACGAAGAGACACATCTGTGGAAACAAAGCGAGCAACCAGGGTGAACCGAGAGATCTTTGGGAGCAAGGGGGTGGCCTTGGAAAGCCTATTCGGGCCATCCCTGGGGGCCGCGTGGGGGCAAGGGGAAGAGGAGGAGGAGCACGAGGAGGATGAGGGCGAGGCGGAATAGGAGGACGAGGGCGCGGATGAGGACGAGGACGAGGAGGACGAGGAGTAGGCTGCTGCTGCTGGTGCCCTGGGAGTTTTGGGGGCCCTTTTTGGAACCCTCTTGGTAACCCTGGAAGGCTTCTTGGGATCGTGTTGGAGCCCAATGTTGGAGGCCATCGATTACAGGATGAGGGGGTCCCCTACTCAGTTCCCCCCTCAGGAGCCGACAATCCGCTTCTGTGGGCTCTCTTGGAGCGCTCTTGGAGCGGTCTTGGGTCCGCTTGGAGCATCTTGGGAGCCATCTTGAGCCAGCTTGGGCTATTTGAGCCATCTTGGAGGTCATCTTGGGCTCTCTGAGGCCGCTCGGGGGCCTCTTGGGTGCTTCTCGGGTGCCTTTCGGGGCCTTCTTGGGGCCCTCTTGGAGCCCTCTTGGGTGTCTTTCGGGGCTCTGTCGGGAGCCCTGGAGTGCCTCCTGGGGTCATCTTCGAGGCTGCCGATCAAAGGAGGGAAACTCCCGATCGAGGCCCCCCCCTCGGGGGCCACGGTCCTCGCGAGGGGTGTCACAAATTGGCCCTCCCAGGGGCCCCAAAATGGCCTTCCAACGACCCGCGCAAACCCCCAAAAAGTCCTGGGGAGGGGGTCGGGGGAGGGGTCAAGGGCTTCCCTCCCCGCCCACAAGCCGCCTCGTTCACTCCCACCCGCCCTCCCAACACATACGTACCACCCGAGCCTGGCCCGAGCCGGATATGCAGCAGTCGTCTTTGGATGGGGAGCCAATCCGCCGGCGACGCCGCCGCCCGCCGCCGCCGCCGCCGCCGCTGCCGCGCCGCCCGCCGCCGCCGCCGCCGCCGTTGTCCGCCGCCGCCGCCACCCCCCGCTGCCTAATCGCTGCCGCCGCAGCCGCTGCCGCCGCAGTCGCTGCCGCCTCCGCTGGCGCGCCGCCGCCGCCGCCCCCGGCGCCGCCGCCGCCCCCTCCGCCGCCACCGCCGCACCCGCCGCAGCCGCTGCCCCCGCCGCCGCCGCCGCAACCGCCCGCCGCCGCCGCCTTCGCTGCCGCCACCGCCGCCGCCGCCGCCGTCGCCGTCGCCGCCGCCGCCGCCGCCGCCCCCGATGCCGCCGCCGCCGCCGCCGCCACCGCCGAAGCCGCCGAAGCCGCTGCCCCCGCCGCAGCCGCCGCAGCCGCCGCCGCCACCAAGTGTATTCTGTCTTGTTTTTCACAGGGATGGTGGGGGGAGGCCGCATCGGGTTCGCTGCTCATTTTCAGAATTTGGAGGCAGAGTGTGTTTTGTATGGCTTATTACAAGGGATGGTGGGGCCAGAGGGTGTTTTGTATTGATTTTTAGAAAAGATGGTGGGGGGGGCGCGTTGACTTGGGTTGGCCCCCGGTCGCCTGGGGGAGGGGGTGTATATTAATAGGGTAGGGGGATGGGCAAGCCCTTCCCCGAAGGGGAAGAAGGGTTT